CGAATTCTGAAGTGACAGTGGTGGAATAGGCTCTGTGACTGTGGACCTCCTGTTCAGCAGAGGCTAGGTTCAGAGTGCAGTGCTTGTCATGCATTACATTATTGTGGTGTGAGCTGTGATTTCATAGGACCAAGTGATGATGGCTTTCGGTCAAGAGGTCCTAGTAGCCATGTTGGAGGATGTGAAATGGAATTTCGACTAGTAACATGGCAATTATGAACCATCTCCATTTTCTTGTAGCTTGGACTACTAGTACTAAGCCCTGCATACATTCATAATAGCATTAATAAAGCTAGCAGTACCAATGTCCACAATGGCTACAATGATCAAGCCATGTCAAGGGGCAGCTCGTACAGTAGGTGAAGGCTACAGATATCTCATATGACATGGCTTTGAAGTGGATAGTGACCAGGTCAGCCAAATTCTGAGTTGTTGAGATACTCCTGCTCTGGAAAGACAGCATGATCAAAGTCAAGTCATATGTTCCAGCCACTGCCATTTGATAACTAATCTGGAAGGAAGTTTGCATTCTTGGTGACACAGTAGTCAAAAATTTCTGCATTGGTGTTCTAGGCAGTGTAGGTGAAGGAGAACCAGAGACCAGGGAGGAAGCAGAGAAGGAAGACAAGGTGGCAATGGACTAGGGTGCTCCGGAATGACACTGAGGGCTCTGACAACATTGTCGACAAACAGGCTCTCCTTTGAGTCATTCATTGCTGAAGGATTCCTTCTCCTCTGGATGAACAAACTAAACTGCAGATGATGGTCATGTCAATACGAGTTCAGCATTCAAGATGATTCATAACATGTTAGATGACAGCGACATGACCCTTGCAGTCACTGAACATCCTTCACTGACTTCCTATAGCTAGTCATTTACCTACACTATGTCTCCCTTCCACTATGACCAAGGTGAAGGAATGAACTAATACCAATCTCTGTTGCGACATATAGATGTCTCATTGAAAGGGACGTTCACATTGCATCCTACTTTATTGGGCTGGGATTCGAATATGTGCTGTGAGGTCTTGTATTCCACAACAGGAATAGTGGATGGCCATCAATGCAGCACACCAAAAGGTGGAAGTCGGCCCATCTGGCAAGAAGGAAACAGGCAGGTGCAGGTTCAGAGCTCGCCTCTTTTTACCATAAGGGTTGATGTGTTGGTGAATGATAGCATACCATTCTCTGAGTAGGGTAGCATGCCTGATAAAGTATCAGTGACACCAGGTAGTTGTATTAGAGAGCAGAGGATTTAGCCTAAAAATACAGCTGAAGAGTGATGGGTGGGGGAAAGGGTTTTGCCAATGATCTCATCGTATGGCATCATGTCTGTCATTCGCTGCCAGCTTGGGAAGAAAGGATGTTCAGGACCAGGGAGGAATGATGAATGGAGGTAGTTGGAGATCCATGAAACATAGGCTTGCTAACAAGTTCCAAAGACAAAGAATGTTACTGGTCAGTGTTGTCTGACCAGCCATCTCTCTATGTGTGGCCTGACTCGTGTGTTCTTACTGCATATGAAGTGATAGGCAAGACCAGCCAATGAAAATGACTTTTCGTAGTGGTAGTCTCATGTTCGCTTTGATATTTCAAAGGCACATATCATACAGATGGGAATCACTAGCAACTATTGGAATGTGAGTGACACTGTTAGGTATAAGAGCAACACTGGCATACATTGGGTGGATGATTGCAGAAGGACAATGACAGGCAGAGGGGTGGTTTTTGGAGTCACTGTTCATCAAGAAACAAAGAGATAATCCTTGAACTGGGGGAATCCTTTATTCGTTCTGCCATGCCTTTGATTTTCATCTGTTTTCAGATTCTTGTCGCCTGAGGAATAATCAGGTCAATGTAAAACACCATGAGCCATGAATACTCAGTGTACACCAGAGAGATGACAAGGAACATTGGAAGAGGGCATTGATATGAAGACCACCATAGGAGACTAGTCATACATGTGTGACAGCATATGGATTTTGGCAGATGCAAGAACTAGAGGAGGAAACAAAAGGTCAACTTGGGCATGACATGTGAAGCTCAAGGTGGGAAAGAGGGAAGAATATATTGTGATGGGTGAGAGAATGAGGAGCTGGCATGTCAGGAACGTTGTCACTGCCTACAAAGATGACCAAGATATAATGATAAGTGTTGAAATGTTGACTGCCGGTGTCTTTTTGGACTTGTGTATATGGTGGCTGTGCTAAAGAACTGTTGCGATTACCAAGAAACATGATGAGAGGGTGGCAAAAGTCACATACTCTCATGAAGGAGTTTCACGCAGTGTGTGACAGGTGTAAAGGCTGGTCATTGCAAAAAACCTGAGCTACTACAGCAGTACGTAGCTCTTATATACTACTAGCTAATATCAAATAGATCCTATCAAATGCATTGAGAATGGTGGAGCATGTGGAGCAACAACGAGAGGGAGAAATGAAGGGTAAGGACTAGGCCAAAGGCTGGCTTGTTACATATGAGTCATTCACTGAATGGTCTTCTTTCATGCATCAAGGCCTCAAGATGCCAGTGGTAGCCAACAATGACAATGGCAACTCCCCTCACCTTCTCTCATAGTGTACCAATGAGTCAGTGAACTCAGGCATCGATAACTTTAATATCAGTGCTTCACCCATCATATGATCTGATACTACCGGATTCACAACTGTGAGGTGCCTGTCATTGGTGCTAGAAGCTCAAGTTGTGTGATTCTGTGAAGGTGATTGTTGTCGCTGTGCATGCAGGGCCCTCAGGTACTTTCTCAAGGTTAGACCTTGGACGACCAATGGTTCAATTAATGTTTTTTCTTTTTGGATACAATATATTGACGTTGTACAATTCTCATATGTCCCTGCCTCGACTACGGCTCAGGAGGACAGGTGCCAATCAACAATTATCAAGAATGCAACATGACTCATCTGTTTCCCATCATCATGGAGGAATACTATAGTGCACAACATCACTGGCCCAGTTGTTGTTGAAGTTGTGTTTTTGATCATAACCACAAGGACAAATTGTGACTTGAGGCTTGCATACATCCAACCTTGCTCTTCACCACTAACCATGACAGATGTTGCCCTAGGAATAGCTTCATCCATTACCACCCTCATCCAAAGCATCACTACTGCCATTAAATGTGTCAAGAACGTACACAATGTGCTTACAGAAATTACCCAGTTCTTGACAGAGCTACAGTATATGGTGTTGCAACTGCAGCCTATTTACACATGTAATTTTGCAATCTAGAGTGTTTTACATGCATACTGAGATATAGTGAGCAAGCAGACTAAAACTACGCATCGACACTAATGCTACGTGGTGCAATGATATGGAATATAACTTATGGCATAAGAAGCAATGGGATTCTAAACAGGACTTAGTCACAGCACTGTACCTGATGGGCATGCATGATGAGAAGGCCAAACCCTATACCCAATGCCTTAGGCTCTAACTTACAAGCATGCTCGTGGGAGCTAGATAAAACCTTGAAGATTGCAGTGATGCTGAGAGTACTTAGCGCACTCGCTAACTGTGACATGTTATACCTGAAAATCCAGGGAAATCCTTAAGCGAGATGACAGATATCACCGGCACAAACTTGGGCAATGGGCTTCAGCTGAAGTCCACAAGCCCGCGTCCCATTGTTCTGAGTCCCATTGTTAGAAGACTCACTTATTGCCATGTCTATGAGAAGCCTCTGTGAATCCAAGAAAGAAGTCTTGAACAACATACACCAGGACTGATAGTTCCAGGTGCCTAGACCTGTCAGTCGCTAGAGAACAAGCCCATGGGTGTTGGGAGAGCATCTCTTGGCACACGTTTAGCAAGCTCACTATAGAAATGAGACTAAAACTGGGAAGTCCGACTCAGATGCTCAGTAAGGCAGTGGTGGCAACATGCTATGCATGTAGGAGTCTGGGTACTGCACGATGTTTGTAATTCTAATTCCCCTGTAGTATAAGTAGGCTGGTTACAGTAGGTAGAAGCCAAGTTTCGAGCCCCCAAGTTCCCGTGCACACATTGAAAGCAGTACTGTAACAAAGGATCAGTTTGTGACTTCGAGCTTTGTGTAGAGTTAGTGAGCTCACTCAGAGAAATATGAGATACCCTTGAGAAAAGACTTTTGTGCACTTAGTTCTGAGAGAATAAGAATCAGTGAAGCTGTTCTGTTCCATTTGAGTGTTGATAAGTCCGTTTGGAGTATGTTCTGAAGAGGAAAAGTGAGATCTGTTCTGTTCTGTTCTGTCTGTTCTGTTCTGTTTCTGTTCAGTCTGTTCTGCATCAGTTCTGTTTCGAGTTTCCGTTTTCTGAATCTGTTTCTGAGCACTTCTGAAGTGTTCTTGAGTTGAGATCATCTGTTGAAGTTGGTTGGAGAACCCCTACATACAGTTGTGTAGCAAGTGGGCTAAGTCAGTACTTGCCTGTGGTGTTCTTTTAGTGAGCTCACTAAAGTTTCGGCGTGTATTGCCTCTGTTTCTGTCAGGATCAGTGTCCCTTGTGTATTTTAACTCAAATCTGCCTTGAAGGTTGCATCGTGCCAGTGAACGACCTTCCTGTAAAAGTTCCTAGACTTAGGGATTCATTAGAGAAAGCTTAGCTTTGCTAAGAGCACTGAGAATAAGAGAAACTCTTCGAGATATTGAAGTATAGTTGGATCGCATTAGAAATAATCGCTCCCCCTAGAACTTACGAGGGTGATTGTAGTTTGTGTAGTTGTGTGAGTGTGTGTGTGGGTTTTTGAGGTTTGCCTTATAGCCCACTCACTATTCCACAGGTGCCCACAGCCAGCCTCCTCAACAGAGATCTATCTGTCTGTCCTAGGCAAGCTTATTAAGCTATCCTCCCAAGATGACCCTTGGTTGGAGACATTACAGCAATTGTGTGGTCCTTTCTAGGAACTTATGGAGTTACTCAGGGGACTCAATAGAAAGCTGAGAAGTGGTTCTCCTGGGTGGAAAAAGAGGGCAACGAGATTGCTATGATTGTTTACCAGGCAGAGCATGGACAATGATCTGAAGAAGATTGAACATCTCAAGACCTTGGTCATGAGTGCTGTGCAGCTCAACGACATGTAAGTGACTCCTGCATTCACCTCTTGGAGGCTAAGTTTGGTATACAGCATGTTATCTCATGCAATCAAGGATACAGTTGCAGATGTCAATGGCACAGTTGATGTTATCTTAATGGGTGTGCTCATGGTTGAGATCTATAGTCATATTGACTGCTGATATGCTCATACCTGGCAGACAACAAAGCTGAGAGAGTGGCAAGGTGGCTGACCCCTTTGGATTACATCACCATTCAACTGGCAAAGCTGAAAGAGCATGTTGGTACACTGGAGAACAGTTTCTTGAGTCCTCAGAGTTTAAGAGTTGGAAGGACAGTTCTATGGAGTCCCATACTTTGTGGTGTCCTGGTGGTTGTGAGTCAAATATCACCATTGTTTCCTTGAAGCTGATATATCTCTTTAGCAGGCATTGGAATGACTGTCTTGGCCTCCATCATCATCAACTCTCTACAGTTGCTGGACTATGAGGAGACATTTATCCAGAAGAAGACACTTGTCCTGAATATCTTCTGTGATTACCAATGTGAATGTGTGAATGCACAAACTGTAGAGAACATTCTCCATAGCCTCTTGAAACAACGAGTCCAAGCACATGGCCTCTCTGACTTGATTGCATTCCTCTATGACAATAACACACCCCTTTTCCTCGATAATCTCACCAAAATCCTTGCACAAGAGCTGAAATCATTTACTGTGTCTACATTATCCTTGATGCCTTGGAAGAATTTCTGGAAAATGATAGAGGTCAAGAGAAGCTGATTAATGCCCTGCAGATGCTGGGCAGCAATACTTGACTTTTTATGATGTTGAGAGACATCCCCACAATAGGATCACTGTTTAAGACAGATACCTGGTTGGATATTCAAGCTACCGATGAGGATATCAAGATGTATATCAAGACCAAGCTCTCTTCTGGCCATCTTGCTCACCACATCAAGGGACGAGGCGATCTGCATGAGGAGATACTCAGTGGAGTAACAATGAAGGCTGATGGCATGTGTGTCAACAATGCAGCTGCACATGTTGCACCTATTGACTGACTCTCAGTAGGTTTCTTCTGGCAGGCATGCACATAGACTCACTTGCTGAGATCTCAAATCAAAAATCACTTCGAGATACACTCACAAAACTACCAGGCAATATATGGGAGGTATATGACAATATGCTGGAGAGGGTTAATAGCCAAAGTGAAGACTGTCAAGAACTTGCGCATCATGTATTTGGGTGGATAGCCTTTGCCAGGCACCCTTTGACAGTGTTGGAACTGTGGTATGCATTGGCCATGGAACCAGGGATGACAACTTTAGACCTCAACAATCTCCATGATGAGGACTTTTTGGGAGATGTCTGTGCTGGGCTTGTCATCAAGGATGAAACCCATAGCGAGTGGGAAGATTTTCAGCTGAGTGGAGCTACAATGAAGTTCATGTGTAAGTGTGAATGATCTAATTTTTTCCTACATAAGCTAAAGATGAGTTTTCTCTAGATCAAATGACCTGAGAGTATTTTCATGACTGCCAATGTGCCGAACTCTTTCCTTGCATCCAAGAGACCATCATGCACACCTGCTTGTCATATATGTCACTCGACGACTTTGAGCTTCCCATAGATGTTGATAATGCTGACAATGACAATGTTCTCTGCACTCTTGCTGAAAAGCATCCATTCCTGCACTACTCGTCTGTTCACTGGGGACACCATGCTAGCGGACCAGTGGAACATTCAATAGAAGATGAAATCATTGCATTTCTCACTGATGGTGCTGACTCAGCAAACTGCAAAAAGGTCACAAACATCTTTCATAAAAGAACCATATCCAATGAGGTGCCTGTTCCAATCCAGTTTGCTATGGATTATGGCCTCTTACATATCATGGACATTCTCCTCCTACATGAAAAGTACCCATGCAAGGAACTGCTGTTGCTGACAGCTGTACAACAGGAGGATCTTGAGATAGTGGAGCTGCTACTGGACCAAGACAATGTTGATCCAAATGCCCAGTCACCCTCATCAAAACAGACACCCTTGTTGTATGCTGTAGAAGAGCAGGACCATACATGTATTGTGGAGATGTTATTGCAGTCTGGGTGGGTTGATGTGAATAGCAAGGGCAGGAATGAATGGACACCCCTTATGATGGCAGTCAGTCATGGAATCATACCAACTGTCGAAGCCTTACTGAAACACTTGGGAATTGATGTTTTGGTGAGAGACAATGATGGTAAAGCTGCATACACTCATGCTTGTCACTCAGGACCAGACAGTGGTGGGATGATTATGCTTTTTAAGAAATATGGATGCAGCGCCAAGTTAGATAATTATCAGCCTATCTATTTGATGCCTGTCAACTCCCTATATTCCCAATGAAGGAGCAGGTCCTGTGATCTAGATAGCATTATTTTATGTAGAATTAAATGTACTTTTTACCTGATTCACAGAATAGTTGTTGCGACTTGCAAAGTCATATGAGTTTAATTTGCAATTGTCTCGAGTTGGGCCTCATTACAACTTACAACTTGTATACATTTCTAGCAGCAGCAAGTTCAAGTGAGCCATTGGTCTACTTGATGATAAATCAGTATAGCATACAGAGAATTTGTTCCCAAAGATAAATATGTGAATATGATTGTGGGAGTACCCACATTTTGCGAGTGCAGGCAAGCATGCAGTGACTGGAGACTTGGGTGCAGGCGGTACTTCCAGTAAATCCTAATAAATAAGCTGAGAGTGGACAATACCAGCTCCAGCAAGGAAGAAAGCGATTTCTATAACTTCTGCCATGGCAGGCCCTGGGAAGCTCCCACCAAGGTTTGTTCAGCAAAAACCCTGATTTTTGGCCTCAAATATGCAAAGATTGGCACCTAAAATATGCTAACTTGGACAAGGCTTCTGTCGGTCTGTCCGTGCTGGACAGCACCGTGGGCCAAATTTTGGCATCTTTCGCCTTATATTTTCCAGATGAAATTTCAGTGTCACTTCCATCCATCCTTCAGATCCCAAAAAGTCTTCACTATGTGCCTCTCCAACTACAGGGATTCCGCCAGGTGCCATTCATCCAGGCCTCAGAGGCTCTAAAATATGCTAACTACAGACAAGGGTTTCAAATTTTGGGTCTGAAATATGCTATCTACGGACAAAGATTTCGCTTTTTTTGGGCCTAAAATATGCTAAAATCCAGACAAACCTTGGCGGGAGCTTCCCGGGGCCTGCTGTGGCTGGTGGGAAAGTTGTATGCAGGCGGGCTCAAGCCATGCTTTGCCTTGTGGCCAAAGTCAAAGTCGAAGTTGCAGCCATGCAGAAACTGGCCTATGATGTTGTACTGGTATCCCCTGTGATGATCAGAAACAGTAGAAAAGACTAAACTAGCAGTGATGAACCTTGACAACATCCAACATCTACATCAACCCCCATGATTCCCAGACAATGCCCTAGATGCTTGAGCCTCCTGTTGACCAGCAGCATGCACCATCAAGTGGTTACCAGGTGCCCATCCAGCAGCTCCCTAGTGCTGGCTTCCATCTTCCATTGCAGGGGACCTCTCACTCTGGCTTGCCACCAAAGTATCTTGCTGGACAACCAATTGTTAATTGGGACCCTACCCCCCATCTACTTTGGCTCTGCCATCTTCGATAAATCCGTCCATCCATGCAAGATCAAATACAACCGGCCTGATTTACCTGCACCTTGCTCAGTTGTTGTTGACAATGCAGTTATCTTCCAGGCCCCCAGAAGCTCCCACCAAACTTTGTCCGGATTTTAGCATATTTTGGGTCCAAACGTCGTCGAACAACGTCGAACTTTGTCCGGATGTTAGCATATTTTGGGCTGGCGCTGACGCCATCGCTCTGACATCTGAGCCAATATCAGTCTCGATTTGGATTTCGGACTCCTCTCCGCAATATTTTCCAGGAAAATTCCAACGAAAATTTGTAGTCATGTCGAATACAGGTAAAAACGGACCTCAGTGCTGGCGGATATAGCAGAATCAGACGGCCGGTTCCGGCCCGGGAGGCTCGAAGACGCGACTTTGCCCGAGTTAGCATACTTTGAGCCCCAAAAGTCGCATATTTGAGGACCGATTTTCGGATTTTTGCCGGACAAAGTTTGGTGGGAGCTTCTGGGGGCCTTATCTTCCATGAGGGGCGTTACGATCTGCTCCAGTTCAATCTCGATACCATGGAACTTGTACGCGCATCTGAAGGGCATATCCCGACTGGCAGGAGGCTGGTTAAGGGCGGTTATGAGGAGGATGGGATGCCGCTGTACCATGGTATAGCTATGCACCCTAATAGTAAGCATAGAGTACCAGGAAAGACGAGCCCTCGCTTGTATGTACTGTGTGCTGTCGTGTGCTGTAGCTGGCCAACTTCTTCTTTAGGCGTGGATGCGTGTACTCTTATAGTAACGATGTGCACCTTGCTACAGACTATGAAATCTTGTGCGCACAAATACTTCTTCGCATTGCTTTGAATATTATTTAACTACGTCGGTAGGTGTTGGAAGTAATGATGCAAGTGTATAAGACGAGCGAAGACCCATTTGAAAGTATTTCCCCGAATGCAGTGGGATGTAACAATGGATTCATTTCGGTGCAAAGCATCATCATCTCAGTCATATGGTAGAATGTACAGAGGAGTAACTTAACCTCGCCCATTTTTTTTTCAACTCGGATGATGCAACCAGATTTTGACCAGACAAGCAAGGTATGGGTTAGTGTCGAAAAGAATCAGTGAGCCCATGCCAAGAATGTGCGCAGAAAAAGAAGAGAAAGGTTGCAAGATGCCGCAAGGGTCTTTGAACGAACCCCTGCCAGTAGTGGAGAGATATCACGATGGGGTCATGATACGAACCCGCCCAAAGACACAAGGAAGAGAAAGAGGAGACCAAAGAATGACAATTCGTGAGTGGTCGATACAGGAAGGATTTAGAGAAGTCAATGATGATGTTTGCAGTGGAAGGCCCAGGAAAGGGCGATCCGAAACTCCGATCACAGCTTCCCTTCCGTTTCCCACCGTCATCGAGGACTACGGAAGCCCTCATTCATTGCCTGTTACGTTCGGCTAGCAAAAGCTTGCATGCATGCCACAGAAAACCCTTCCCTCGTTGATGTTTTAGCCAATTTCTGGGCGCGGAGAGTTCTCTAAGGGTAGTGGCTCCCCATCAACGCAATGGGAGAAGGGAGGCGTAGGATTCGGCATCGTGTAGGTGGAGGGCTGAACAGAAGAACGTGTCCATGGTCGTCGTCATCGCTGCTAGTCGCAAGCAGTTCTTTTGGGTGTACTAGGTCTACCATCCATACCCGGCTGAACTTGTACTGATGGTCACCAAGAAGCTTGAGCCATCCACCGAACCTTCACTATCCTTTTTCACGCGTCCTCTGTCCTTCAAAGCTTCACGCCCAAGTCATCCTGCCGTCTCTTGGTCCTCTGTTTCTTGCATATGCCAAAATCTATGCGCCATGCACGGCTAGCCTCCTACTAGATGTACCAGCCGTTGGTCTTCTTACCGATACCTCTCTCCGATGTCTGTTTATGGCTCCCGGCGTTTTACACCGGTGACTTGATTGGTTCACATGCGATAAGGATCATAAAACAGATGAAAATAAAAGACACGGAAGAACGAATAGTGGATCCGTCCGGTCTACAGGTTGTCGCTTTTTTCTCGACGGACCACGACTGCGAAAATCACTCTCATGCCAATCACCAGAATTCGTGAGTGACGTTTCGGTGACTTGTGAGGGTCGCAGGCAGGGTAGCGTGTCGCTGTCATCCAGCATGATACGGACGACTCCAGGGTATGTCTGTCTTCATCATCTCGAACGCTGGACTCGTATTGACGCGATTGTCATTTGCAGTGAAAGTGGGGACGGCGATGAACGACTTCAAGGAGAGTCTGTTTGTCGGCAATGCCGTCGGGGCACTCAGTCCCATTCCGTCGTGGCTATCTCTATATCTTCCTTCTCCGCTTCCCTCCCTGATCTTCGGTTTACCTTCACCCACACTCCGATGCACAAAATACTGACTACCCGAGAACACGTATTTCCTTTTAAATGGTGGTGATTAGAACGTACGGCTTGACTCTCCAGAGCAGGAATATCGACAACTCACGAAATTCGCTACTCCGCTATCCATTTCAATACTACTTCATAAGCAAGGTGTACGATCATTTCTTCCCGTCTACCTACTTCTTTATGCATATCGGAGAGTCCAGAGCTCGGGTTGCAGCGTCATTCCTTGCCCCGCTCGTCTTTCTCCGAGTCCACACGAAGACGCCGTTACAATTATCCCGCTGAACAGCATTGTAGTCCAAAGAGGTTAACCATTATCCCCAAGTGCGAAGTCGCTTTCAATACTGCAGATGGGATGGTGGACTACCTCTGTCTCGACCCTTCCCAGGAAGGAACTCCCTCGTTTCTTCTTGATTTCGCGTCTGGTAGAGAAAAGGGGACGTTTCTGCCCTCTATGATATTCGTTGCCCCCCCGCGGTTTTTACAACATAAAACATCAACAGCTCCTGGGTGGAAACCGCAACATGTTATTGCCCTTCACCGCTACGCGAGTCGTCCAAATCATCGCCTTTATCTTTCTTTTTGTGATGTTTCTCTCCTCCCCAGAATCCCTGTTCGCTTCTATCGGCTTCCTGGTTGAAGACCGCATAGAAGGGGTCTTACCTGTTCTATGTAGCGACATACTGAGTCAAGATCAACATTGCATTTTGTATAATCAGTGCCAACACAATACATTAGGACCAAAATCGCATACATACGTAGAAATAAGTGTAAATGAGGAGAATAAGTAACACAGAAGAGACGTGCAGTATGAACATAACGGGTCTGCAAACCAGCAGGACAACCCGGTCGACCACGATATGTATGGGGAGAGAAACGGGGCCATAGGAGCTTTGTAGTTATTCTCGTAGGACGCACTAGAGTCGGTTTGGGTATATCAATGACCTCTATATATCGTCGACAGGTACTCCAATAGTGCGAAGGAAGACAAAAGACAGACGAAGAAAATGGCGGGGAAACGAGCCGGACCGGATTCAGCATATAGCGTGTACGACGCCCTGTCATGAATAGTCTGTTCACTCAGCGAAAGCTTTCCTCATTCGAAGACACTCGCTTCAACATATCCTTTCTTCTCATCCGCCTCTCAGGCTGTTCCCCCATGCCCAGACAGCGTCATAAAATCCCCTTCTAGCGGAACGCCCTTCTCAAACTTCGCTAAATCCGGGTTCACCACTCATGGAATACCAAAGAAAACTCCATCCACCTTCCCATCCTCAACATACTGCACCGCCTCCTCGCCTGTGAATAATGCATTCGCGAATACATTCGTAGCGGGATTCTTCAACAAGGGGGTATACGTTCCGAGGACATCATGCTTCGTTGCACGCCGAGCCCCGTCAATAACAGGATCGAGATTCCCTGCGTACCGCACGAGTGCAACGTATGCGATCCCGAGTCTGTCAATCTCTGAGATGAGGTACCCGAATATGCCCAGCGTCTCTTGAAGCGGCATTCTGTTCAATTCATCAGTACAAGTACAAGCCACGTCACTTGAAATGAGGACATACCCGACATCATTATACCCTTCGGCGGGGTTCAACTTGATACCGACCCTGTTGGCACCCCAGACGTCTACCGCGATCTATTCTCCACGCTCCGGCCTCATTGATCTGTCCGATGTTTCGCAGTGCTATCGAGGAACTGGTGGATCAGATACCAGTTCGCGCCGTAGATCTTTACGCCGTCGAACCTGGCCTGTTTCGCGTTGATAGTAGCCTGTTTCCATTGGCAAGTAGAATTCGAGGGTCGTCGATTGCAGTAGGTGTGACATAGCCTGGCTGACCAGGGAGGAAACGGAAATTTCCTCCTCGGGCAGAGATTACTGAGGGTGGGAGTCCTGAGGCGATTTGCTCTGGTGCATCGGGGTGGCTTAGGCGTCCAACTATGTATTAGTATATATTTCCTGCAGTAGAAACACAGGGAACTGACGATGCCATAGCTAGAAAGTAGACCGTGTTAGAGGCTACTAACGAGACGAGGGTATAATAAAATATACCTGTGCGAAGATCACGCCTCCCTCTTCGTGAACAGCGTCTGTGACATTCTTCCACCCGTTGACCTGCTCTTGAGACCAGATACCAAAAGCATTCTGGCAATCAGCATTAAAAATCGGCGTAAGCACCAGCACGAAGAAGGGCGTAAGAGAAGGGCGTGCCCTTGTTAAGCAATGCGAATGCCTTCCGTGACAATCAAGCCAGCACCCCCTGCGGCGCGTTGTCGGTAGTACTCGGTGTTGAGACTATTGGGGACGTTCGTGGGGATGGCATGGTTCCGTGTCAAGGCGGACATGAAGAACCCTATTCCTGAGGGTAGTAGGACCAAGTTTGAGGGGTTGGAAAAGAAATCTGAGGTTCGACATCGGTGGAATGCGAGAAAATGCTTGTTGGTTGTAACTCATGAGGATTTTTGAGGAGTAGCATACTTGTTATGTATACGTGTCGCGACCAAGGCCATGCGTAAAGGGACCCAGTATGAAGCATGACCAAACGTAGAAAATTTCGAGTTTCTTAGTAAAATTCCGGTCCTTGGGGTTGACTGTGTCCAGGCACCAAGCGAAAAAGTTGAGTCAGAAGCTACGCGATTTGAAGGATTTGATGACTGGGATCAGCTGTGCAAATATGAACAACTAGTGAATGACCGAGGTATCTGGGGGAGGGGTTTACTTGGGTGCTACTTATCGGCCCGAAGTTCATGTTCCAGCCGGCACCAAGTTCAAGAGTTGAACGTTCTGAACAATCGGCGGTGGCATAGTAGGGCGAAACCATAAGTGTTTGATGGTAAGATGTTCGTCTTGGAAATTTTCGGCGGTGGAGAACACGGCAGCTGTCGGTGAACTGTGGTAGATGCAAGTAATGTTAATAGAAGAGTTCAGTGAGATGAGAATGGCCGACGTACTCAGGACGCCAATAGCCCTCCCGTCCCTCGCTACGCCTGCAAAATGCCACATTATGTTCCTGGCTTCCTCTTAGGCCATCCTCTGCACGTTGACGCGTCGAACCAAGTCTGAGCGTCGTTCAGGTTGAGGAGCGGCCGCCGTTGGGGGTGCAAAGTCGAGGAATCGCCATGCCAAGAAATCAAACGAGGCTTGAAGCTAATTCCGATCACAGCTTCCCTCCCATCTCCCACCGTCATCGAGGACTACATCGACAACACCATGTCGTCCGAGTCCCATTCAAGCTGAGGCGCCGCTATCCTCGGAGGAATCTCCGTGCCCAAAATTTGGACATGACGTTGACGAGGGAAGGGGATTATGTAGCGTGCCTTCAGACGGGCAATACTTTCGTTAGATAAACCGGCGTGGAATACTGGTGGTTGAGCTTCGTAGGAGACATTTTGATCGGAGTTTCAAATCGCCCTCTCCATCCCGGACCATCCGATGGCTCCCTTTCAACACTAGTATACAATTTGGGCTTCTCAGCTCCACACCGACTATAACGAATCGGCGAATACTCCAGTCATCAATGTACTAGGTAGCCTGGCTTGCGACTTCTCCAATCACTACATTTGCCAGTTGCCCCATATTATTTGAGTCTGACAACGTCCCCCTTTCCTACCGTGTTACAGCATGCTTTATTTTGGTTGAACGCTCCAGAAAAATATCATTAACGCACGGACAAGGATGCTGCTGGCAATAGGTGTAGGTATTCGACAGGAGGGAGGACACGTCGTAGTAAGAGAATACATCCACGGCAGACTGCGATTATACCACCTGTGAGCTCGATGACCCAGAGTAGTAGTTGAGAGAAGGGATCAGAGCTGGATGGCTGGAGGCATTTTGACACTTGTATTAGAAGAGCGGGCTACGAAAACGAGGGTTGGGCTCTCTTGTTGTATGACGTCGCCTGGGTTGTACACACGCTCAAGGAGACATATCTACTTTTGGAACACATCCTGCGAACAGTCAGCTCTTGACAATAGGAAGAGTGACAGCGAAGTACGGTTACCAGCGATGTTAGGCAGAGCAACGATTGTGGTAAATCGAAAAGCACAGTGATTCCGTTCCATGGTGGGTTTGGCCGGAACTGACGTTGGCTTTGCAGCCTGTCATATAGCCACTGTCGTCGATCACCTATCTCGAGCTCAACGGGCCCGTCGATACGTGATATCCAGCCCCAACCTCTCAAAGTTTCCTTTCGGATGATCAAGCCATGATCTTTCAATGGCATATTCCAAACGACGCAGATACTCCGCCTCGTACCACTGACAATTACCAGCAATAAAGGGGGCAAAAATAGCCATGATTTTGGTAAACGACACTCTTTGATGGTCGCCCTTGCAAACAAAACCATGTTCGCATACTCAAACCACGGAGGGAACGCGCCGGCCATGCCCCAGTCGACCAACAAACGTCGCCCCTCTTGTCCACGATAATATTACGCATATTGAGATTGAGATCCATATGACATAGGACAAGAGGGTAGGAAGCGTCGAAGGTGGAATATAGATGACTGGAGCCACGGCGCCACCTTCTTCCACCACAGCGAGGTAACCTTCAGCCCTTTCCACCTAGGCTTCGCCTATACTTCATACACTCACAATTCTCGCAAACGTAGTCACAATCATTCCTATTTATTTATACATTCTAATCCAAAAATGCTAGTATCAAAGTAAGTAGAACGACGGAGAATACCCGGTCTTCAGAATCATCTCCACCCCAGGCTTGAGGCTTGCAAACAGGTCTTTGGTGGTCTTCTTTGGAGCCCATCCTATGGCCTTAGACCTATTTACCACACAACGAGAGTTGGATCCTAGGAAGTCAAGCTAGACCATGATAACATGAGAATTGAAGTACCACGAAGGTTGATATGGTATGAACTCACACTGCCGAAATACTTGGCCATTTCCTCTTTCGTGAACGAGGTAGGCTCTTTCTCTGTTGCTTTACCCAACTCAACCAGAACGGCACCTAGATGCAGGGACAAGTCGTACAGAAGATGCTCTCCGCTTGCACCGAAGTAGAATCCTTCGCGGCCGTGACCAAGAGCCGGGTTTTTTCCATCGACGATAGCGTCATAGAGCTTGAGGTAAAGATCAGCCTCTGTGAAAAACGCATTAGAGCGCGACTGGGACGGTAGAAATCAGAACTAAAACCTACGGTCATGAATTTCGACATTGGGCCACAAGTTCTTCCCTTCTCCAACCATCCCAGCACGTCCGCGATCAAGAGACGCACTAATGAGAGACGGTACTTGGATGGATTGACGGTTATGAATCCCTGCGTCGGCGAGCCTTCCCGAAGACAAGCCATAAACAGTAGACGGGAGAATGATATAAGTTTTCGCATAGCCTTCAAACGCATGGGCGTCAGTATGTGCTTGCCAGTACGCGAGTATTCATACCAACCTTCCTTGTCCGCGTTAACGATAGCAAGGTCCACTGGTCTGTGTATCTGAGTGATCGGGAGTGTCTCAATCTGATCAGGGTTTAGATCATCGTAGATAGTTTCTGTAGCTTTCAAGCCTCCCGAATTATCCGAGAGTACACCCGTTCCCGACTGGTTTGGTTTCCTCTCATTAACTTCAATGCACTCTGGATAAAATGTCATAGGACTTACTGTGTTGATAAATACCGGTGCTTTTCCAGTCTGTTCGAACCGTCTTTTGATCCCTCGGAGCGTGGCCTCCGCCCCACGAAGGTCGTCACAATCCGCCATCGCCACAACAGCGTCTGCATTCGCTGCACTATCCTCGAGCAGCTGCAAGTCCGAAAGCGATCCTAGGATGGGCTCGACGCCGAATTTCTTCAGCTTTTCGGCCTTCTCTGAGGACCTAACAAGAGCAGTGATATGGAAAGAGGACGCGTTTGGATGACTTAGGAATCGTTCAAGAACGGTGCCTCCGATGTAACCTTCAAAGCACAGATGAGATTACTTCTGGGTTGCTTAGAGAGTTTGATGCTACATACCGGTGACTCCAGCCATAAAGAAAGTAGTTTTGGTGGTCATCGTTGGAAGATTGACAGTGGCTGGAAGTCAGTATGATGCTCTACGCTCGACTGCTGCCGGTTTTATATCTTTCCTTCGTTGATTATTCATCGAGCTTACGAATCAAGCCTTCCGGTCAGCGAGATGTGCACCAAGTGAAGCTGTGGAACTGTAACGAGAGATCTGAATAGTAATATAAGAACAAGAAATCCTTGATTTCTTGGGTTTGGGGGGGGGAGAACTCGGCTTTGAGAACTGTGAGTTGAGCAGAAGGGAGACCGGCAATAAAACCAGTCCCGAGATGAATACGGGGATGAAGAGATGCCGGAAGCTCAAACTCGGTTGTCCGGGGAAACCTGAAATCAGCTGAAAAGACGTAGCTGCAGCGTCAGGCCAGGCGCTACCCAAACAAAGAAGGGAGTAGGTGGGTGGGTCAAAAGAGAACGGAGAAGTGACGAAGCGACCAAGATGAAGAGAGCGAAGAGAGAACGAAGCGAAAATACTCTTGCACCGAATAGCGCAAGACGATCGCGTTGTTTGGCTACATACCTCTGTTGAGCCAAACATCTGGGGAAATGCGACGAAACGCTGGGGGAAAAGATCTCTCTTGGCACTACGCTTTACTTGGCTAAACACAGAGTTTGAGCCGTTCGCTCCTCACGTCAAACTTGTGTGGCAAATATTCGAGGAGAAGTGTGGTCAGTGAGGCCTTGATGTTCCATGGAACGATACTGGAGCATATTTGCACTTGGGGTTAAGCTAAGCCGAGGTTTTTCGGTGTTCTCCATTTGTTCTCCAGGACAGACTTGGGAGTGTGACTTGATATGACATCCGAAACTGGCGTGATCAAACCCTCGCTTGCCGGGACTGGCTTTTGTGAAGGACAGGGTGCAATCAACGGCTCCAGAACGACTCGGGGAAGTAACGACGATGACTGCAGAATAGTAGATGCCGTCTTGCTAGGGGAAATCGCAAAGGGCGGGGGAAACGATGCGACGGAGGTCACAGATACCTCATTGATTTCACGAGGCAGCTCTGGCGTCGCTGAAGGCTCACGAGAAGGTGCTAATACGAGAGAGTGGCCAAGGATAGGGCTAGATGGTGTAGATGCATCCTGGTTACTGGTGTGTTCGTATACGCCCATTCCTCGTGTCATGTCTGATGATTCAAACCCCAGGTTCCAATCCAGAGGGTCGCTATCTGATTGCGGACCATAGCCATCTTCATCTGCACTGTCGTCAGTTGTGCCATCGTCCTCCGATGATGCACTCTTTTCATGTTCTGATTCACTCGACATCCCATGGGTCTCGTCACCGCTCTCGTTGTCGATCAGCGTGTCGCTGTTATTCGTCGTTACGGTAGTACTACCACTCGAAACCAAATCAGTAGTCCTTTGCAATATAATCAATGTTATGGCTCATCTTATTACTGAAACCGCGAGCTTACCTTCGAACAATAGACGTCGTATGGGCCTCGGAAATGACAAGTGCACCAAGGTCTACTTTTTTCTTTTTATTCGGTCCTCTGGTCTTCGGGACTGCCCTACGCTTCTTCCATACCTTTTCCGTCGCTTATATTTCTCCATTGGTGATTTCCCACAGGCTGGTGAACCAAATTACTTGATCGCCTGCTTCCTCGTTGGGATGCACGTAGGGCTGGACAAGAAGATGGACTGGCATTATCCCAAGACATGAAGGTCAAGAATCTGGAAGAAAGGAAATCAGGAGGGAGAATCATCTTTGATCCTACGATGGACGACTCACCCTCCCTAGTTGATGGTTTTCGTGCCTTCACGAAAGGGACAACACAGAGCCGTTCAGAGTACCGTCCATTCATGAGAACATTGGCCCACTCGTTGAAGACAACACCAAACACTGCGCGCGCAGCTCGTTCGTCAGAGAAGCCAATAATAGAGAAGAGATGTGCAGTGTGAACGGAAAGCGCAAAGAATAAAAACGGAATGGCAAAACATCTAGAATCCGTCAAGGGAATGTTAGCCAATCCAGTCAGACTTGCTGGAACCAGTTTGGGTATATAGAGGGTATCATTACTAGGTGATTTAGGAAACGCTGCGGTGGACGTGGTGGACCGTGGCTGAGATCTGAGAAATGAGCCGGACCGAACCCGGCGAGTAAGTTTAAACTCTCTTTTCGTCTCCCATCACCGAGGACTCTGCTTCGACTCGGCAGGCGCGCCCGTGAAGCCTCTCAAAATCGTTAACATTCTGGCATGTTTCTAGAGAAATTTTGCTAGACACTAAGATGCGCGCGCTTACAGAAGCCGTTTCCTTCGTCAACAATTACCGGGTGCGGAGATTTCTCACTTTGTGCCTCCTGGAATAGCGGCTTCCCAGCTTGAACGGTACTCAGACGACATGTCAATGCGGCAGTGCTGTGCTAGGAGGAAGGGAGGTACAGTCGACGTTGTGTCTGGCTGACGGATGGAAGGGACCTTTCTCCCATCATCCCGTGGGCAATTCTCAGCACCATTCCCTTGTACCCAAGTCTATTCTCAACTCTGCACCCCCAACGATGGCGGCCTCTCAACTTCAACGACTCTAGAACTTGGTTCGCATAGACGACGCGTCAGCGTGTCAATTTTGAGCAGAAGATGGCCTGGAAGGAGGTGCGCACGGAATTTGGCTTTTATGGGCGAAGAGAGGGATAGGAGGGGAGGTCAGTGAAGAGAGTTGACCATGCTAAGAGTTTCCGGCGTTCTGTGCATGGTTCAGCTGGAGAACGTTCTTAGTTGTACGAGTCCTGGATATGTTCACTATTCGTATCTCGCTGAAATCTTATTGACATGACTAGTGCCCCAGGTAGTCTGCTCATCTTCATCTAAGAAAAAGCTGTCGAGAAGCTCAACGTCGCCGTCGGATCCCAACGACTCCAGGGAGAAACCGTTGGTTGGCAGTCTCTGATGTGTCCTCGTTTGTTGAGGGAGCCTACGAGAGATATCATTGCATGTCTCTTCTTCATCCCTTGCCTCCTTCGTTCCCTTGATCCACACCACCGAAACTTTCGAAGACGACTTCGCTATCAAACATCACTCTGTTCATCGTTCTCACAGCCCGGCTTTTCCAAATACGAGACGTAGTTTCCAACGCAATAGATACGACTCGTACAAGGGCTATTTCATTTCTCCGAATGAGATACACACCAGCTGCTCGCCAAGTATTTTGTCCGCTCTCAGGATATCCGTCTGGCGCTAGGCAGTTATCGCAACAGCTGCTGGATACTTCATTCGCTTCAGGATCCTATCCATCGCCGATATTCAGCATATGACCATTCAACCTAACGCAACAAAGAGGATATCAATTACATTGTGATAAGCGCAATATCTCAATCAACTACCAGTACGTATCTATACCTCGTTCATATCGACTGAAAACTGATTCTTGTTCCTTTCCTAGCGGCTCGTCGAAGCTGCATCCTTACTCATGTGTACGCAGGTGTTTTCACATCCTTAGTAAACTGGGAGTCAAGCACCTCGAGATCGTCAAAGTCCACGATATAGAACCTTGGGCTGTCGACTACCTCCATCTGTATGGCTTAGTGTTCTGTTTTCGCTGGCGAAAGGACACACATCGGCCTACCGATTTTAAGGACCCATGTCTAGCTCGCGAAACAGTTCAGCGATGATGCCCGCGCATCCCAGGCCAGTCTACTCAACTGCTCAAAAGTCGATATCGGAAGGGAGCTTCGGAGCGAGTTCAAAGAATACACGTCTCCCAGGGTGAGTCCGAGTCTATGCGCATCTACCTCTCGTCACTCATTTAGCTGCTAGGGCTCGTGATATCGAATTCTTCTATGATCTGAAACGCTCATAATTCTCTCGCTCGGTACGTTCCTCGTTGCTTACAAGTAGTTAAACATTTGATGATAACAATCCAGCCGACATCTCAAGAAAGGGGTCCGACTGTATTTTACTACACAATGACTAAATATCAAAAACAATAAGAACAACTTGAAGAGTTATTGCGGTCAACAATCCTAAGGAAGTTGTCAGCAGATACATCCAAGTCAGTAGAAGAGGGCATCATCACCTTATTGAAGATCCTCAATGGGGCAAGGACAAAGTCATCATGTATAGGAAGGGCGAAGTGAACATCTTTCTCCAGTCCCACAACACGACATACCGTACCCTCAGGTATCATGAAGACTTCGCTGAAGGTTTTGACTTTCAGGCCGAGGGCCCGTTCAATCGAGATCAATTCCTCTGCTGTCCCACCTCCATCTGGACGCCGTACTCCATAAACATGGATGCCACGGGGTGTTGGAACCGGTCGACCAGAGTCGGGGTTGATAAAGGCGAAATGGTATTGACGCATGTCTGCCAGATCTCCGCGCCATATGCCAATTTTGACTTTGTCATTGATATCAACGACGTACATGACCTCGTTAGGAGTAGGATAGCGCTAAATGTCAGTGGAGAGATCAGTCAGAGCAATCATAAGAAAAAGAGCGTACGCACGCCGATCTGCTTCTCCGTTCCTGAAACACTGGCGCGGAACGCCTCAAGGCGGAGTCAGCCAGCCTCGACAGAACCGTACTGAGATACATAGAAATCGAGGATTTCCTGGTGGGTGCGGCCGGGATAGGTGCGATACACCCAGTCCACCCAGTCCTCCGACTTGGAGTCAGCGGTCGTAGAAGACGATGTAGTAGGTTTCATAGCCATGGTACCGGTGGTGGTTCGGAAAGAGCGTTGCACCTGTTTGTGCATTGCCTTGGGTAGCCGGTTAGCCGGAGGTCACCGGTCAATGATCTTCAGCCGGGAAATTGATTATGCCAGCCTGTAAGTATCAGCTGATGACAGAGCTTTTTCACACGGATTTTTTCTCCTCTCCTTGTAACTGTTACCTCCGAGTTGTGAGTCGAAATGAGAAGATACCAGATGGTGATGTGGCCTCCTACTATCCATGCCCACTGAGTGGACGGGCCGTTGTGAGCCATGGGTGGACATCGGAGAGTCGATAAGGAGAGATGCGTTGGTATGAAGACCGATGGACTGTACAGTTAACAGGAGGCTGATCATGCATGGCGCGTGTGTGATATTGGCATGAGCAAGAACTCAAGAACTAGACGACGGTATTGACTGGGGCGCGAAGGACGGAGGGCGCGTGGAAGAAGGATAGGGCGACGGCTTTGGTGAATGACTCAAGCTTCTTGGAAGCTTGGAGACCTTCTTTGACCGTTATGAACTGCACATAAAATCATCATCTGCATCAGTACAAGTTCAGCGGGATAAGGATGATAGACTCACCTAAAATTTGGAGAGCTTTGACGGAGCACGAAAATATTCAAAGACACCCCGACAACAAGCCCTTGCAGGAGCTCAACCTCACTAGACAATACACCTCGGACAACGAACAGTCATGAACATATCCCTCTCTTCCCACCCAAGGCCGGTCCTCCGCCTATACGATGCCGAATTCTCGGCCTCCCTTCCTCCTTCCACACCTACTATCGCGTTGGTCTCGCCGTCGTGTGGGTTCCGGATGTGATCTGATAGATCCGAGTACGGGCATTGAAGGTGGCTTGTTGCATCGCACAGCAGGAATGTCAGATGTAGTGGTTGGGCCAACGCTTCCCATCAGGAGACAGAAGTCAAAACATCTGGCGGGGAGGCCTCAGACTGGCGAGTATAGCTTCAGAGTCTTGTTGAGACCAGGTGAATCATAACATTTTTGGTTGGAGAGGCGACGCGTTGGAGGGAGCACCGATAAAAGCTCGCAGAGTAAGAAACTTGTGGTAGAGAGTCGGTCTGATAGATTGTGGTTTGTGTTCGGTCTCACTGTACAGCGAGAGGACGGCGAACTTGACGAGTGGTGGGTAGGCATGTCGTTGGGAGAAAGGATATCGCCCTGTTCTCGTTATCCATATCGTCATACGACTTGTCACATGTCACCGTTGGCCCGGCACGCTAAATCTCTTGTTTGGAAGAATCATACCGGTCCAAGGTGTACTGCGGTGAAGCAGGGAGGAGGGTGAACGTGAATATTATTTGATGGCGAGATCGTCTTGGAAAGTATATTTCGGCAGTGCAGATCAAGAGAACGGAGGAAGCAAGGAATGAAAAAGAGACGCGTAAAGATATCTCGTAGTGTCGGTGATGGGTCCATCAATAGACTAGGGAATGTGCCAAAGGAGACCGCCAGCCAACGAGACACGCTTGCTGCCGTACTCGTTGCGTAAAACTTAGGGATTTGAAAAACTCGGTGATGTAGATCAAGGAGACGGAGAAGGCGAGGGATGAAGAAGAAACGCGAAAAGATATCTCTTGCCGTGCTGGTGACGAGTCCTGGCCCACATCCAGCGACGCATCAATGGAGACTGCCAACGAACGGGTTTTCCTTGAAGCTGTTGGAATCCGGCTTCTCAATGGCCTTTTCCTCGATGACATGAGCAGGCTGCCTCGAGAAACTGTACGACTACCAGATGCAATGTCAATAATATTCCAGCGAGATGAGATGGTGGACGTACTAGGAATCGGATTCGTACAGCGAAAGACATTCTCCCAGCTGAGCTAGCACACAGCCCTCACGATGCCGATCGGTCCTCTTCACTGACCTCCCTTCTCTACAGCCACTTGTCTCCCTCTCCCTGCCTACAGGATGCCAAATTCTGTGCCTCGTTCGACCTTCTACTCAAAATTGACTCGCTGACGCGTCGTCTATGCGAACCGAGCCCTAGCATCGTTCAAGTTGAGACATTGCCACCGTTGGAGGTGCAGATTGAGGAATTCCCGCGTTAAGGAATCGAACAAAACCTTGACGGGCGATGAGCCGTTGTTTGCGTGCGCATCTTCGGTCGAGCAAAGACAAGGAGATAAGGAATGCTGGTGGTCGATCGAGGTATTGTGTACCCAAGTCGATGCGTATCCTCGGATGGTGGTGGTGGACGAAAAGGAGTTCTGATCCCGCTCCCGACTCCGATCGGTGGGAATTTAGTCCTCCGAGTTGATTGGCCCTTCCCTCCCATGGCTCTCATTCCGAGAAGGCGACATTATTGTACTGATAACTTGAATCTCTCATATCCACGTAGGCTGGCGGTCAAAGATTCCGTGTATTAAATAAATGTACTATCAAGTGTTAAAATGTCCCGGCGACAGCGTCAGTTCAAGCCTCTCAGATCGTGATAATGCACGCAAAGATGTCCGTAGAAGGCCGGATTGATACGTATCCAGCATCGAATGATGGCCAATGCAAAGGTGTTCGATATAGTGCCAGTAAAACGACAGCCTCAGGTCGTCGTAAAGACCTACCTTCGCACAGCGCGCGCCACCTCCCTATTTGCATGCATCGATGTACTAAACTCTCCTGCCCTTGCAGTTGGCGCGGTTGGTCACACGCGTATAAGCGAGAGAACTTGCACAGCGGCAGCGGCAGTGGTATCGATGCCAACCTCTACGAGGACTGGGACCGAGACGCTAAGGGAGCGAAGACTATCGTGAGGTCGAGAGATCTACCTGGTAAAAAGTCAGTAAGTCATTGGGAGGGAATAGATGATACTAACATGGAGCGTATATGGGTAAGCTATGGTTGTCGGGCTCATTCCCTACTAACAGAGTATTACTTGAGGATGAGATTGTCTTGGAAAGCATATCGAGTCGAAGGAGTAATGCATAAAGATAACTCTCGTGCTGGTGACGGGTCCTAGTCTGTATCAACAAAGACGAGGCTTCAAGCTTCAAAGGAGGCTGTCAATGAACGACTGTTCCTTAGAGTCGTTGGAATGCGGTGACGACGAGTATCCTCCCCCGCTTTCGCCCTCGTTTTCTACGGCGTCGTCTTCCTTCGCACCCTCGGAGCGCCTACCAACGATACCCGAAAATGGCAGGCTAAATTTACGAAAGCCTGTTCCAGAGCGTCCTACGGGACTGGGTGCGAGGCTCCTTTACGGTACTCACACTCTCTGTCATGAGGCTCCCTGTCCGCGTTGCAGTCGCCGTGGTCAACCGGACTGTACAAAAAGGTGTACTATTCGCTTGCTGTCCTGTTTGTTATTTATTCTGCAACCCTTACCGTTCATACTGCATGTGTCATTTGTATCATTCTCTTCTGTCATTCTTAGTATTATTTCCACATATCTGGTCTTTGATTTCTTTGCTATAGACTATTTGGGTTGCCCGTGCCCTCTCCCCGCCTCTGTTTTTAGAAGATAATAAGAAAGGAAAACCGAGTGAGAAAGGCGTCGACGTACCATGCATGGTCGCCTGCAGCACGGAACTTCTTACTCTTGGGAAGAGACGTAGGCGAAGAAGGGGTGTCGTACAACACAGGTACCGAAACGAAACCTTGGTCGTAGCTGCCGACACCAACGTGCGTCTTGGGCCGCTCCGGGCTATCCCACACGGGACCAGTGTCTGTGGTCTCAAGCACATCACACTCTGTCAAGGCCTTTCGAATCAAATCCAGCTCTCCTTCCCGTCGAGAACGCTCCGCCTCATAGAAAGCAGTGACTCCGGTGATCTCCTCGTAGTTGTCCGGAAGCCGCTGAAGAGCTTCCTCGATGGCGCGTTGAAAAGGAAGGATCGGAAACCTGTACTCAAAGCCATCTCTGAAGTGGTATGCCAGATTCAAGATATGCCACCATTCCAGGATGACCGGCTTCAGCGGTTCAAAATATGGATCAAAGTAGTCGAGTACATGTTCTTGGAGATGTTCTGGACCGGGATTGTCGAATAGCTTCCTCTTATTATACAGGATGTCGCTCTCAGGGGCATCAAAGAAGAAATAAACGAGGGTACGGATTTTTCTCGTTTCGTAGGTGTCGTTGTCATCAGCCTCGGACAGGGACTTGAGCGCATGTTGCAATGGTCCACCAGGACCTGCACATGTGAGGCATATATATATATCACCACCCAAAAAAAGGATTCCATGTCGTGGATGGCGACATGAACAACATTCACCGCCTTGTCAAGAATTTTGTGACTGATATACGGTAAGGTGCCCTGTTTATATATTTCTATAATTAGTCAATGAACATGAAGGGGAATAACAACGACAAGTATTTACCGTACGTTCACCGTGTTGAGCAACATGACTGGCAAAAGAAGGAGGCATCTTTGTCTGCGGGACTATGTTAAGAGTGGTTATGTAACGAAACGTGTGGCGACTGACCTCAGGCGTTATGAAGATATGAACATCCTTAGGTGCGATTGTCTGTACACGAGTTCATCAGAAATCTGAAAAACGATTGTCGAAAAACTCACAATGCGTGTATTACTCCTTTTGATTTCTATTGAAAGAGACTTGAGAAGAGCCTTATAGTAAGTCACCAACTGCGTGTCATCCATGCTTGAAGGAAGTGAGGCGAACAAGTCCGACAGACCATCCGACATCGGCGGATACTTGTATACTTCAATCACTTTTGGAAGCGGGATGTCAACTTGCATGTTGTCTTGAAGAGGGCCTGGATCATGGTAATCCATGTCATGTTTGGAATGATCCATGTCGCTGATTCGCCCGTTCGTATCAAACAACTTCAACAGACCCGTTTTTTCGTCCTTGGCCAGGCATATCAACATGTTACCTGATGACAATCATTAGTTGTCATAAAAAAACAAAGAGGGTTGAGACGAATCTTACCAAGAAAAGTTCCATGCACCGTCGTCAAAAACTCTTTCATGGTTAGTAAAACCTTTAGCGGCCATCCATAGTCTTTGAGAACCAATCGCGTCAATACACGCTCCACTACCGTCTCTGAGGTGACAGGAAAGTCTAAAAAATCGCGCAAACCACTGATGACATTGACATGCAGCACCTCATCCGGTGTCGCTTTTCGTTTCGCTGTTTTACTTGCTTGGCTAGTAGACCTCTGATGAAAAGGATAGGTATGCACATCCTTTCGAAGGTCGGAAAATGTCCTAGTTCCCGGAACCTCGTGATTCAAGTAGACGCGGCTAATATGGTCACCGGGCCCAGCAATCTCATAGAAAATCATTTTCAGACGTTGATGTCAACGGTCTCCAACTTTGCTTCAGAACGACAACCTAAGGAGCGAGTGAGAATATTTGTACGTTGCGCATAATGTTTTCCCTCACCTCTTTTTTCGCTAAATCCATTGCAAGCCAGACAAGAGTTCCACGTCCGCACATTATTTCTGACCGAGCGACGCTGAGCGCACGGATCGTGACGAGAAAATGTGGTTTAGCGTCCGCATTACGCACTGTAATGAGCCATCGAACGAGATGCAGTGAGGGTAGTATTTCAAAGTAATTTAAAGGTATCTCTGGGGAATGGGAATATACAGCCTTCTCTGAGAGTCCCCTGTATAATTTCATGGTCCTATCCCAGCCTAATTGGAAAGGATCCGCGGTGGAGAAATGCGCTATCACTCGGATAAACTTGTCCGGCTCCTGAAACAAATGTGAGAATATGTATCTTCGGGCGGGTACTATTGAGGCTCATACATTGTGGATGTCGATGTTACTATCAGCTCCCACCAAGCCCGAGCGGTCGCAGTACCACAGAGACAGACTCGAGTGGAAGAGAATCATCCCAAATACATATTAGCGATCATACTGCTCTCTTAGGATCTGTCGCATATATCCACAGAGCTGCGTGATTGTTTTTTGTGCTTCTTCGAGCTTGACCACCGTCTTCGGCTTGATCTCGACAGGCACAATGGTACGGACCCACGATACCTGAATCTTCTTCAGCTAAAGGCGGCATACATTTAGCAAAATTCGTGACGGTCTCCAACGTTCTTACCGTCATTTGGTCCATCTATGCAATGGATTTGACGATAAGTGTGCGGAAGAGCTCATGAAATGACGATTACCTACCGTATCGGGACCAGACTCCGGGATATTGTTCTGTATAGAGACAGTCAGTTTCGTCCATCTCCGCACAATGCTTGAACACATCACAAACTTCGGCTTTAAGGATAGCCTCACTCAGCGTTTCCCAGTCGTCCTTGTTTCCTAAAACATTCACTACATCAGGGCGATTAGCAGCCGCGTGTGTGAACGACTTGGGTTTCGATGAATGCCGGTCTAGCCAAAAACGCTTTGGAGCTTCGTTCTCGCCACACGCCGCCTGGCCAACAGCGTTCGCCGCGTCAGCAAATGCAATATAATACGGCAGTTCAGAACCCCGAGGTTGGGCAGGGAGAGATTTCCATCGACCAGCGGACGCATCGTACGCTCCTATGCCTTTCAGGGTATTGAGAAGAGCGGAGGAACTATCGCATTTGGGAAAGAAAGTATCGAGGAAGTCGTCCAAGCGGGTGGTTCTGGTACTGAACCTGAGGTCAGCTTCGACGCCTTTGAGGACATGTTTAGTTAATGTGGGGACACCAGTACCATCGAGCGTCATAGAGCTCTTAATCAACACGTCAGAACGATATTGGCTAGAAGTCGAAGGCCCTTGTAACTGATAGTCAACACCACTGGGTGGCATGATGTGCTCTTGGATAGACTGACCTAGATGGAGTTTATGTATACACGCATCTTATGATTACCATCGCCCCGGGTCAAGAATTCGCTCGAAAATGGCAAGTCTCTTTTAGCCTGCAGTAAGAAACCGTGATGGTGGATGTGTAGGGATGTGTTGCCAAACAAGGCCACATCCAAGAGTCGGTCCATCCGGTCCGATTCACCTAAACTCACGGGCAGCGAGTGCCACTAGCAAGGGGGAGGCGCGGCACCAATCCGGCAAAGGGTGTTGGAAAATAGGCGCAGCGGTTGGAAGGAACGTGATGGCGCAGTTCGAACGAGGTATATTTCATAGTAAAGTACGCAGGAGGAGGCTGAGGAGGTGGTGGTGCAAAGCCAAGATCGGTAAAAATAAAAGTAAAATAAAAGCACGGGAGGGGTCCCGACCTTAAACGCAAAACCGACAAGGTCGTCGAATGGAGGGAAAGAGTGCGCTCATGATCAGATTAGATTTAGATTTCGCACCACTTTCCCATAATTTATCGGGTCGTATTCTAATTCAGCTTGAACAAGTGGATACATCCCGTTTCTTCGCCCAAAGGGAAAGAGTCGGGGACCCCGCAACTGCCGCTACTACTGGATCGGTACTACGAGTATGCTTCACACCGGACAGTTGAGAATTTGTGTGAAAACAAAATGTGCACAATACAATGATGAAATCCAGGGCTGGTTGCGATAACTGTCTGGCGCCAGATGGATATCCTGAGTGTCTCCCAGCCGACTTATCATGTGTAGCAGTTAATCGCGTCGGCCTGGCATAGATATTACGACAGATGGCTAGCAATTGCCTAGCGAGAATGAAGCTGGATGTATACCTGGGTAGGATTAGCTAAACGCTGGTAAGAGGGGGTAGCTTACGGTGGAAGCGATCTGAAAGACTTGAACAATGGCGGTAGAAAAGATGATACTTCGTTTTCTTATGCAGAATACAGCCTTGTACTCCATGCGAGCAATCTGTATGAGCGCGACGAGGACGTGTATGCAGTCTGGACTGTGAAGCATGGACTGCGAAGCACCGAAATTGTTGCGTTAGCCACGTTTCTGCCTCCTGTTTGCACCCATGACGCTTCGAGTCCAATTGAATCCACCCAAGGACGAAACAGTCCTGGGTAAATGGTTGAGAGACCAGGCGCAAGCTTGCTTTCTTCACCCTCTGTGAAGAATGTGCTTGGGGTTGAAACGCTGAGGGCGCAGGAGAGAAGTCGCTTTGGTTGGAGATTGGATCGCCGGCGGGTGATTAATTGGACTGTAGTGGGAATGAGCACAGCTGAAAGCAGAACGGAAAGGAAAATGCTTGCCGTCCCAAGCACCTTCTTCTCTAATCCACACTCATTGGTTTAGCAAGTTCGCACATGTCGTCATTGTCTGAGCTCCGGATGTGATTTGAAGTCAAGCTGGGATCTGAATACGGGCTTTGACTCTTGAGACGCTCCTGTTGTAAAACGAATAGGAATTTCAAGCATAGGAGTTGGGCATCAAAACGTCTCATCAGGAGATGGAAGCGGAACTATCGGGGGAGGACGCGCGCTGGAGGGCGTAGTTTCAGAGTCCGGCTGAGACCAGACGAATCATATCATTTCCGGACAGATCGGTAGGCGATGCGTTGGAGGGAATACTGATTAAAATTCACAGAGTATGAAACCTGTGGTAGCACGCTTGTTTGATAAAATGTGGACGGTGTTTGGTCTCGACGTATAGAGAGAGAAAGGAGAACCTGACAAGCAGCCGGTATGGGCATGTCGGCTGGAGAAAAGGACATCGCTGTCTTCGCCATCCATATTCTACGACTCGTCGCTGTTGGCCTGGAAGCTACATTCTAAGTCTCGTACTTGGGAAAACAGGACTATCGTGTATTCGGGACGAGTAGCAGAACATGTATGGGGAATGATTATGCGTAATGGTGTGGCAAGAACACTGGATGGAGTATTATCCTACGGTGAGGTTGTCTTCAAAAGTTTCTGCGATGTAGGTCTAGGGAGCGGGAGCCAGGCGCGTAAAGATATCCCTCGTAGTACTGGTGATGGACCCCGACCCACATCAATAGACGAGGGAACGTCAAAAACAAACCGTCAGTGAACGTTTCAACGGCTTATCGATATCCTCGGATTCGTTAGAATGTGATAGTGATGTCACCGAGCTTCTCGGCCACCCTCTCTTGATGAAGATAAGCAGGCTGCCTCGGACACCAGATGACCATCATGTACTAGATGCAATGTTAATACGATTACAACGAGATAGGAATAACGGACATACCAAAAAGTTGTAAAGCTAAGAACATTCTCCCAGCTGAACCACGCACGACCCTCAGGACGCCAACTACTCGTAGCATGGTCGTCTTTCTTCCTCCCTTCTCTACAATCACCCTTTCCCTCTCGTCCCTCTTTCCACTTCAATAAAATGCCAAATTATGTGCCTTGCTTCCTACGAGGCCATCCTCTGCTTAAAATTGAAGCAATGACACACCGTCTATGCGAACCGAGCCCTAGCGTCGTTCAAGCTGAGACCACCGCCGTCGAACGTGAATTTGAGGAATCCCCACGCCAAGGAATCGAACAAACCTTGACGGACGATGAGCCGTTGTTTGCGTATGCATCTTCGGTCGAGCGAAAACAAGCAGACGAGGACGGTTGTGGTCTATCGAGGCAATTGTGTGCCCGAGTCGATACTTATCCTCGGATGGTAGTGGAAGACGAAAAGAAGAGTTTTGATCCCGCTCCCGACTCCGATCGGTGGGAGTTTCGCGAGCCGTTGCCCTTAGCATTCAACAGGATTATCCGCTTGATTGTCCCTTCCCTCCCATGGCTATCTTTCCGAGAAGGCGACACTATGTACTGTACTGATAACTTAAATTTCTCACATCCGCGCAGGCCGGTGATGGAGATACTAAATCGCGTATTGAATTTACTATCAAACACTAACGTACTATCCCGACAGTTCAAGCCTCTCATACGGACATTACGGAAGAAATGGAGGGAGCGAAGTACAAAGAGCAGATGGCTGACTTAAACGCGAAGGAATGTCTTGTAGTGCTCGTAAGGCTCCTCGCTTTCAATGCGTGAAAGGAAGATAGCGATACACATGTGAATGAACCGTACTTCTGGATTCCGACAATAAGGATCATATTCTGTACATGCTCTACTTTGAAATACAAGTTGTGGTATTGGAGGATCACTGAAAACAACCACTTCTTTCTCGAAGCTTAAATAGGCGCTACGGCAGGTAACTTTACAAGTTTACAAACACCTGAGATAGAAAGAAAATATGGAATAACGAGTAGAAGGTTGGTCTCATCAAACTGGACGAGTTCATGAAAAGGTTGTCAAGAAGCTCAAGAAGGCCCACTTTCCGAGGGAGGAGGCCTTCGAACCTCAGGTGTAGGCAACCTGCAAATCAACGTCCCTCTACTTACTAGAGGGACGTTAGGCCTCTAGTGGTAGGTTGTTCACCATCAACGTGTCCACCGCTGACAATATCCTCGTACCCAGGCGGGAACGTTGCGGCACTATTGTTGCCACCATCATCAGCGTCTATCCGACCCGCATCATTTTCCCGCTGAGGCCAGCGTTCACCGGAGGCCATACGTGATGAAGAGGGGTGTGCCTGTCCCAATGGTGCATTTGAAATTGAAGGTCCAGCAGCCACTGAAACTCTTCTTGCTCCCTTTGGCATATGATGAGAGGTGGTCTCCATCACGGTATACGGGGTAGGGATAGGCGTATTTGGGTGAGATATAATGAATGGGGACTGTTGATGGGGACTGATATAGGAACTCGTATTCATGTCGTTATGCTCTGGCTGTGTACGATGGCGATGTCGCTTAAAAAACCATATAATTAAGCAAAGGGAGATGACCGCGACGCCTCCTACAACTCCTCCAACGATGGCACCTGTGGGGGAAGGTGAGGTTCTGGTTGATTGAGATACCGGCGCCGGAGTGGTAGATGAGGTCACAGAGATGAAGGAGAAGGAGGATGCTCCAGACGTCAACGTCAAGCTTTCTGTAGCAGTAACATTGTTATCCTCAATCTGGAGTACAAATTTGGCCAGCGTTAACTCCGAAAGCCCCCGTGCGTCGTCCTGGTTGGTTAAGATTATCTGATGTATTCCTAGCTGATCAAAGGATTTGGTGTACAGGATGATCTGCATGTGTGGTGAGAATGATAGTGCAAATGGATGGTCCAGATAGATGCTCACACTCACCGGAGGATTTTTACCATCGTCAGTGCTGTTGACAGCGTTGATCTTCTCGAATTTGGAACTTTCGGGATCACAGTCGATACATATTGCATACAATGCCCCACAGCAGCGAGGTATGCCGTAATAGTAGAAAGCATTAGCTGGTGCTGAAAAAAAAAAAGAGTAAATGTCATTTCACAAGAGGTATGTCACAGGGTCTGCACCAGGAAAAGTGAAGGTTACGTTGGCTGTCAGGTCCTGTGTCCAAGCCATTACCCCAACCTCATTAACGCTAGAAGCATCATATGCACTGAGTTCCCATGACCCTTCCCATTTGAAAACATCCAGGTTTTCGAGGCTATAAGAGTAGTTACTATAGCTGACCATGGCGAAGTTGTATTGTGAAGCTGCAAGAGTAAGGGAAAGAGTAAGACCAGTGATGAGAAACCACGAGAGAGGCTTTTAAAAACAACACACAGCATCTTTGAGTTAAATAGCATGGAGTCAAACCGCCTGAGTAAGTATCATGATTGCAATCAGGGGTCAAGTAAATACTAAACGATGTTGAAACAGGCCAGTACAACCCAAGTATTACAACCAAGAAACCACCTGTTGAGCTTTTCAGCTTAAGACATGACAGAAGTTCGCAAATACCAAAGGATTTTTTAGTACAAGTCTCACAGTAAGTAAGCTTGAAGCATGAAAATTTGAAAATAGAAAATAGAAACATTGATATCGATCATTCGTAAGGCGGGAAATTCAATTTGGACTTGTAATCGATTTCCTTGGCTGGCGCCAGTAACACCACCTTGGCATGGAGAGCACGACACTGTTAGCATTTCTCCTCATCGTCAGGCTGGAGTCTTAACGAGATGCAGATTTTTACCAAATTCTCTCCATAGCTCGATCGGCGGAGTCGCTCCCAGAAATAAAGGCTGCATATCACAAGATGCTTCGGCGCTCCTGTTGGGACCTAGGCCGGTTATCTATCTATCTACAGCACTGCCCAGACAAGAATTTCTTTCACAAGGAAAGCCGAACCTGCATAGATGTAAGTAACGGTAGATCAACCTTCTTTTCTCGATCAAAGAGGCTTATTTTATCCTGTCAGATTCTGTTCCGTGACACAGGTATGATGTCAAGATCCTTCCAAACAGAGTTACAGGATGGTCGGCTGGCACAGGGTCATCTTGGTTTTGATGAGGAAGCGTTGATGAAAGGTTTAGACCATTCGGTGTGGGTGCACAAATGCCGCTGCGGCGTCTACGCAATAACAGACAAGTAAATGGAATTCGGATATCATTCTATCGCTTGCAGCAGCTGCTCCGAGGTCATATGGGTCGAATACGAGTTTGTGGTGCGAGCAGAAGTCAGTAGAGGGTCTTTCGTAGCAGTTTTCTGTAGGCTGATGTCACACAGGCTTATCTAAATTGGGGTGTATCAATCAGTGTTGTGTCGAGGGAGCCGAGGTCAGGCACAAAGTCAGGGACAAGAACCTTTTCCTATAGCCTTCGGTATGGCTCATAGGACTCGCCAGTCTATATCACCTGGACCTGGTTATCACCACGCCTTCGTATTGTGTTCACGCTGAGATTTAAGCAGTTCTGAGTCATTTCTACAGTAGTTCAATATTAAGCATGAACAACGGAAGCTAAAGCGTCATCAGTATCAGAGGGTATGCAATCACTACAACGGGAGTGCGCGCGGCACTCTTCCCCACCCTGAACGCCATCGCGTCTGCCCCTGGTCGCGTTTCCGACTGGCCAACCGAGAACGAATATCAATATCTAATAAGCCCCCCCGGATCGACATCAGCATCAGCATCACAGTCACATAGCTCATAGAATTCCGGGCCTGGCCTAGGATTCCAATTCCTCTTCCAAACTCCATGTTGCACTGCGCTGATGAGTGACAAACCACGACATTGATTCAAAATTGAATAAATCATGAAGAAGGAAGGAAGTAGGTTTCATTAGTCGTCAGTACTCCTGGATCGTGAGTCGGAATTGAAGTCACAGCCATACAGCCAATGATAGCGTGCTGTAATCCTCCGTGATGGAGCCGCCGTGATGACAGGAAACAGATCACTCGTGTTACGTTCTTGAGAATTATCGATTAGCATTCATCCTCCAGAGATATATTCAAGATGGCGAAGGAAGAAAATGATACAATGTCGATGTATTGCATCGAGAGAGAAAACATCGCAGACTGCTTGGCACAGCCTAGTCTACCTCTGAAATCAGGTGCAGCAACTCCGGCGGTACCAAATATGATACGACATCGACGCAGGAGTCTTCTACAATGGATTTAACGGCCAGCTGGTACACTACGAGCGCAACCCAATAGAGGCACCGAAGTTGATGGTATCTAGATCTGACGGAGAGTGAGTAGTAGGCAACTACGAGGTGAAGGAGTGAACAAGCATCGACCTTCGTTGTGGCGTATAAAAATCTCGACGTCCCCTGTTGAAAAGGTCATTCACTATGGATCCAACTTCATCATGGAGCACGGAAGGTCTGTGTTAGCAGGCCAGGATCCGAATATGAAGTGGGAGGCCCTTCCCGCGACAGGAATACATCAGGAATGGAGGCGGGACTGTCTGGTGAGGAAGCGGCCGGACTAGCTGGTACAGGTTTAGAGCCCGGCTAGAAATTTTTCACGTATGAGTCGACGCGTTGGTATGAAGAAGACAGACGGCCAGTACAGTTAGCAGGCGCCATTCGTGCATGGTGCGTAGATGTTGGTATATGCAAGAACTGGACGACAAGGAGACGGCAGGTTGATTTGAGCACGAGGGGCAGACGACGCGTGAAAAGGGGATGGCGACCGTTCGATGAATGACTCAAGCTTCTTGGCGACCCTCTTTGACCGTTATGAACTGCACATGAAAGTACCATCAGTACCATCAGTACGACTTCAGCGAGAAAAGGATAGTAGACTTACATAAGATTTGGAGAGCTTTGACGGAGCACGATTGTTGTCAAGGTCACCGCTGGAGCTCCATGAGAAAATTTGCTTCACTAGCAATACACCCCTCAGGACGACGAACAGTCATAGGTGCGCCCCTTCCTACCCATGGCCGGTCCTCTGTCTTAGGCACACGATGCCGAATCCCGTACCTCCCTTCCTCCCAGCTATCTCCCTATCGCGTCGGTCCGGAGTCCGAGTCCTATTCAAGTTGAGGAACCGCTACTCTTGGAGGTACCCGAAATCTGGCCATGGGAAGGGGCTTTTGAAGTGTGCGTTGCTCGGTGCACAGGCGAGGAATATTGGTTGTCATTGGTGGGAGGAGGGAGAAGTTTTTGATCGGTGTTTCGGATCGCCTGATGACTCCCCTTCAATACTACCGTTGTAGTATACAACTTAGGCTTCTCAACTCTACATCGACTAGAGCGGGTGAGCCGTCCAGCCGTTAATGTACTAGGTAGCCTGGCTTGCGACTTCCCAAACCACTACTTTGCTAGTTGAGTCTGAGGTCCTGCCAGTGAATGGTCAGGGTGGAGTCAACCCAGAAGTGAAGACTTCGACGAGCTACTAGTAAAGGAACAGGAATCAGCCTTCAGTGGATATAAACCAGGCATAGATACGTACTAGTAGTTGATTAAGAGATTGAGCAATCCCCATGTGGTTGATATCACGGTTGCTCCGTTGCGCTGAATGGTTGCATGCTAGATACAGATGACGTGTAGGGTCGTGACGTATTCGGCGCTGGTTGCGATGACTGCCTAGCGCCAGACGGATATCCAGTCGACATATTATCATGCGTAGCGGTTAACCGCGTCTGCCTGACATAGTTATTACGGCACGCAGCTAGCGAGTACCTGGTGAGAATGAGGCCGGATGTATACCTGCGGAGGATTAGCTGACGACGCTGTACTTTCATGCTAGGAAGGGGTTAGCTTACGGTGGAGACGATCTGAAAGGCTTGAACAATAGCGGTAGATAAGATGAGACTTCGTTTTCTTATGCAGAACACAGCCTTGTACTCTATGCGAGTGACCTGTATGAGCAAGACGAGGATGTGCACGCAGTATGAACTACGAAAAATAGACTGTGAAACATCGAAAATTTTCGCATCAGGCCACATGTCTCCCCTTCCCGCTTGTACACATCATGTTGCTTCGCATCCAATTGAATCCACCCAAGGTCCAAACAGTACTGGATGAATGTTTACGGGATCAGGCCGACCGTGACGAGCCTGAAAGTATTAACCATCCCAGCACGTTCCCCTCTAATTCACGTCCCTCTGCTTAGCTTCGCTCACGTTGCTGTCGTCTAGGCTTCAAGGCCCTTGACACATTGTAGTTGGTGCTCGGTCTCGTAAGTACAGAGAGAGGGCAAACGGCCGGTAGGCATGCCGTTGGGGGAAAAGGACACCGCCGATTTCTCGCCATCCATATCATCGTACAACATGTCGCCTTTGGCTTGGGAAGCTATATCAGTCTCATGTTTAGGAAAATCGGACCATCATACATACGGGTCGAACGGCCGAACATGTATGGGAAATGCGTAGCGGTATCGCGAGCCTGAGGACAGCGGCGGACGCAGTATTGTTTTGATAGTGAGGTTGTCTTAAAAAGGTTTGGTGATGTAGATCAAAGAGATAGGGAAAATGAGGGACAATGACTGCTGTTGTCGTGGAGATATCTCTTGTAGTGCCAGTGACGGGTCCCAGCGCAAATCAACAAATGACGACGCGTCAAAGGAGATTGCCAGTGAATGGCTGTCTTCGGAGTCATTGGAATGCGATAGTGACGTCTAGCTTCTCAGTGGCCTTTTCCTCGATGACATGAGCAGGCTGCCTCGAGGAACTGTGCTAAATGCAACGTCAATATGATTTCAGTGAGATGAGAATGGCGGACGTACGAGTCGTACAGCGAAGGGCATTCTCCAGCTGAACTATACATAGCCCTCACGACGCCGGCCACCTCCAGTACGATCAGTCCTCTTCACTTACCTCCCTTCTCTACAACCACTTGCCTCCCCCTCTGCCTACAGGATACCAAATTCTGTGCCTCACTCAACCTTCTGTTCAAAACTGGCACGCTGACGCGTCGTCCATGCGAACCGATCCCTAGCGTCGTTCAGGTTGAGAGACCGCCACCGTTGAAGGTGCAAATTGAGGAATCCTCGCACTAAGGAATCGAACAAAGCCTTGACAGGCGACGAGCTGCTATTCGCGTACGCATCTTCTATCAAGTAAAAACAAGCAGACGAGGAACGCTGGTGGTCGATCGAGACTTTGTACGTGTATTGCCGAGTCGATACCTATCCTTGATGGTGGTGAAAGACGAAAAGAGTAGTTTTGATTCCGCTCCCGATCGGTGAGAATTTCGCCCTTCGAGTTGATTGCCCCTTCCCTCCCATGGCTCTCTTTCCGAGAAGGCAACACTACTCTACTGATAACTGAAATCACTCGTATCGACACGTAGGCTAGTAATCAAGATTCCATGCATTATATAAATAAATGTACTATCAAGCACTAAAATACTCCGACGATATTAATTCAAGCCTCAGACCGTGATAATGGGTGCAGAGATGTCCACGGAAGACCGGATTGATGCGTAGCCAGTATCACATATGCATTATGGCCAAAGCAAAGAATTTCCACCTTCATGAAATTACTCCGACCTTCTAGTGTCTTTGGGTGTCCATCAAAGCTGTGCAACAAAATATCATTGAAAGGCGGCCTTGGGTCGTAATAAAGACCTACCTTCGCACGCATACATCACTTCCCCATTTGCATGAATTGATGTACCGATCACTACTATCACACGCATATGAGCCGGAGCATACAGCACCGGCGACGGTGGTATCGACGCTAATGAGGACTACCGAAAGCGCCAAGCCTGAAGTAAAGACTATTATGAGGTCTGGAGGTTAATCTGGCAAAAGCCAGTAAGTAATTGGGAGGTACCGGTAATGAGTCGAACTAACATAGTCACGTTATAGCATATGGGTGAGTTATGGTCGCGTTCCTTGTCAGTTCCATTCCGCACTGGTTGATATTCTCGGCACTGGAATCGCCGTTATGCAGTACGCTAGGGCTAAACTTTTTTGCACTAGCAAACGGTTCACAGCAGCAGCTGGTGGATATTGAAATGGGAAGAAGACAAGAACGAAGAGCCAGCAGCCTGATTTGAACGCAGATGGTATTGCAGGGCTGGTAAGGCTCCCTGCGCGTCGGAAGGAGGATAGCGACACGTATGTGAAGGACTCGTGCTTTTGATAACCTTCTTTAACCATCGTGAACTACACATGAAAGTGGTATCAATACTTGTTCAACCGAACGAGGATCGTGGACATACCTAGGAATCGTAGCACAATGATGAATCCTGTTTCTTATCTTCCTTCTCCGCCCCTCCCAGTTTCCTCCCCAGCAGAAATAATGAGCTTGTTTCAACATAGTCGATATCACGGTTGCTGTATTGTGTTCAATGGTATGCTGAACATTGGTAACGCGCAAGATCCTGACGCAAGTGAAGTATCCAACACCAATTGTGATAACTGTCTGGTACCAGACGGATATCCTGAGAGCGGCTCCCAGCCGACATATTATCACTGGCATGCGTAACAGTTAACCGCGTCGGCCTGGCATAGATATTACGACGCGTGGCTAGCAATTGTCTGGCGAGAATGAGGCCGAATGTCTCCCTGGGAAGGATTAGCTAAAGACGCTGTGCTTTCCTGGTAAGAGGGGTAGCTTACGGTGGAGACGATCTAAATGGCTTGAACGATGGCGGTAGACGAGACGAGACTTCGTTTTCATATGCAGAGCACAGCCTTGTACTCGATGCGAGTGATCTGTATGAGCATGACGAGGACGTGTACGCAGTGCAGACTGTGAAACATAGACCGTGAAACACCGCAAATTTTGCATTAAGCGCATTCCTCCCTCCCATTTGCGCCCTTCGTTCGTATGTCGCTTCGAGTTCACTTGAATCTGCCAAATAGTCCTCGGTAAACCTTAAATCCGCAAGACGCTCAGGTATCTTTGAATTCCGTGAAGAACATGCTTGAGGGCGCAAGAGGCAAGTCACGTTGGTCGGAAATTGGATCCCCAATTGAACTGTAGCGAAGTGAGTACAGCTGAGAGTAAAACGGAGAGGGAGAAAGTACTAACCATCCTCACCACGCATTCCTCTGATTCACGACCCTGCATTCTTAGCTTTGCTCATATCGTTGTCGTCTGGGCTCCGCAAGTGATTTGAGTGATCTGAATATGGCCTTAGAGGCCCTTTTGTTGCATCGCACAGCAGGAATGCGAGACATAGCGGCTAGGGCAACAAAGCATCTTATTGGAAGATGAAGATGGAACCACCTCTCGAGGAGGATACATTTGGATTGGTCGGTGTAGGTAGGTTTAGAGTCCGACAGAGACCAGGTGAATCATATCATTTTTGGTCAAACGAGCCATACGTCGGAGGGCACGCAGAGTAGGAAACCTGTGCTAGCACACCGGTCTGACAAATTGCGGTTGGTGTTCGGTCTCGTTGTACAGAGGACAAGCGGTCGAAGCATGCCGTTGGGAGAAAGGACACGACTGCTTTCTCGCCATCCATATCATCGTACAACAGGTCGTTGTTGGCTTGGGAAGTTATGTCAGTCTCATGTTTGGGAAGATTGGACTATCATACATACGGGTCGAACGGCCGAACATGTATGGGAAATATTAATGCATAGCAGTGTCGCGAGAAGAATGACAAACGCAGTACTGATTGATGGTGATGCCGTCTTCGAATTGATGTAGATCAAGGAGACGGAGCCCTGGAGGAGGCGAGGGATGATCGATGTCGATGAAGTTTGAAGAAAGAACGCGTAAAGATATCTCTTGTCATGCTGGTGCCGAGTCCTGGCCCGATTATGCATCGAAGGAGACCGCCGGTGGACAGCTTTTCCTTGAACTTGTTGGAATGTGATAACGACGTCTAGTTTCTTGATAGTCTTTTCCTCGATGACATGAACAGGCTGCCTCGAGCATCGGAAGACCATCATGAACTGGACTAGATGAAATATCAGTGAGATTTCAGCGAGATGAGAATGGTGGACGTACGCGGAGTCGTACAGTGAAAGACATTCTCCCATCTGAACTCCACAGCTACCCCACATCCCTGCCGTCCGCCTACAAAATGCTAAATTTTGTGCCTCACCCCACCTTCTCTTCTAAATTGATACGCTGACGCGTTGTCTATGCGAACCGAGCCCTAGCGTCGTTCAGGTTGAGAGACTGCTACCGTTGGAGGTGCAAATCGAGGAATCTACGCGCCAAGAAATCGAACAAAACCTTGACGGGCGATGTCGATGAGCTGTTGTTTACGTACGCATCTTCGATCGAGCAAAGACGAGGAGACGAGGGACGCTGGTGGTCGATCGAGGCTTTGTGTGCCCAAGTCGGTGCGTATCCTCGGATGGTGGTGGACGAAAAGAGGAATTCTGATTCCGCTCCCGCTCCCGACTCCGATAGGTGGGAATTTCACCCTCCGAGCGGGCCGTTGCCCCGGACCTTCAAGTTCACATTCAACAGGATTATCCGCAAGTTGATTGTCTCTTCCCTCCCATGGCTCTCTTTCCGAGAAAGCGACACTACTGCACTGATAACTTAAATTTCTCACATCTACGCAGACCGGTAATTGAGATAAAGCACGTATTGAATTTACTATCGAGTACTAATGTATCCCGACAGTTCAAGCCTCTCACCAGATCTCAGCGACGAAAGCATCGCCACTGAACGAAACCGTGATAATGCACACAGAGCTAATGTCTGCAGACTGCCTGGTTGACACGTATCCAGCATCATATGTGTTACGGCCGAGGCATATTATGTCCGCCTTCATGAAGTCATTCCGATACTTAATATGATGCCTCCCGCGTCTTTGGGCGTCCTTTAACGTCGTGCTCAAACTCATCAATATTCTACTACAAAATCTCATTAAAAGAGGGCATAAGGTAGTAAAAGGGCCTACCTTCGCACCACGTATGTCACCTCCCCATTCGCATACGTCACCCTAGCAGTTACCCACGTTTGGGACGACGGCTTCTAAAATTAGGCGCCATCTGGTTGCACGTGTATGAGCCAGAGAAATTGACACAGATGATAGATCCAGCAGCAGTAGTTTCGATACCAATCTCCATGAAGACTAACTCGCATAATGGGACCAAATCGCCATGGGAGCGACGACTATCGTGAGGCCCGGAGATCTATCTGGCGAAAGGTTAGTAAGTAATTGGGAGGTAGTTGATTGGACTAACTTTGAGCCATGTTATAGCATATGGTTGCATTTCCCAGTGTGGGATCCATTCCGCACTAATCGGTGTTCTCGATGTTGGAGTCATCGATGTTCAGTATGCCTGAGCTAAACATTTTTGTGTTAACAAACGGTTCACGCCAGCGTTGGGTGGCAGTTATTACGGAGGAAATGGAGGGAGCGAAACACGAAGAGTGAAGGGCTGACTTAAATGCATTGAAGGAACGTCTTGTAGTGCTCGCGAGGGCTCCCCGCTTTCAGTGCGTGAAAGGAAGATAGCGATACGCATGTGAAAGACTTGTTTTGCTGGATTCCGACAATAAGTATATAATCCGTACATGCTCTACATTGAAATACAAGTCGTAGTATTGGAGGACCAATGAGAACAACCACTTTCTCGAAACTTAAATAAGTGCTACAGCAGGTAACTTACACGTCTACATACACCTGAAATAGAAAGAAAATATGGAATAATGAGCGGAGGGTTGTCCTCATCAAACGGGACGAGTTCGCGAGAAGGTTGTCAAGAAGCTCAAGAAGGCCCGCTTTCCGAGGGGGGAGGCCTTCGAACCTCAGGTGTAGGCAACCTACGAATCAACGTCCCTCTACTAGAGGGTTGGACCTCTAGTGATAAGCTGTTCAACATGTCCACCACTGACAATATCCTCGTACCCAGGCGGGAACGTTACAGTATTGTTGCCACCATCATCAGTGTCTATCCGACCCGCATCATTTTCCCGCTGAGGCCAGCGTTCACCGGAGGCCATACGTGATGAAGAGGGGTGTGCCTGTCCCAACGGTGCATTCGAAATTGAAGGTCCAGCAGTCACTGAAGCTCTTCTTCCACCCTTTGACATACGGTGAGAGGTGGCTTCCATCACGGTATACGGGGTAGGGATAGGCGTATTTGGGTGAGATATAATGAATGGGGACTGTTGATGGGGACTGGTATAGGAACTCGTATTCATGTCGTTATGCTCTGGCTGTGTACGATGGCGATGTCGCTTAAAAAACCATACAATTAAGCAAAGGGAGATGGCCGAGATGCCTCCTACAACTCCTCCGACGATGGCACCTATAGGGGTTTGGGAAGCGGAAGGCGAGGTTCCGCTTGATTGAGATACCGCCGGGGTGGTAGACGAGGTCACAGAGATGAAGGAGGAGGATAATGCTCCGGATGTCGACGTCAATAATTCTGTAGCAATGGTAACATTCTTATCTTCAGCCTGGAGTACAATTTTGTCCACCGTTAACTGTGAAGGTCCCCGTGGATCGTTCTGGTTGGTTATGATTATCTCGTGTATTCCTAGCTGATCAAAGGATTTATGGTACAGGATGACCTGCGTGTATGGTGAGAATGATAGTGCAAATGGATGGATGCTCACACTCACTGGAGGAATTTTTCCATCGTCAGTTCTGTCGACAGCGTCGATGGTGTCGAATTTGGGATTTTCGGGATCATAGTCAGTATATATGGCATACAATGCCCCACAACAGTGAACAGTTCCGTAATAGTAGAACGCATTAGCTGGTACTGAAAAAGAGTAAATGTCATTTCGCAAGAGACTCAGAGTTATGTCGTCACAGGATCTCACCAGGAAAAGTGAAGGTTACGTTGGCCGTCAGGTCGTCTGTCCAAGTTAGCGTACTAAGTTGATTAATGCTAGTAGCATTGTAGTCAGCGAGCGTCCATAATCCTGCCCATTTGAAAACAGCGAGTCTGTCGTCATAAGAGTAGTTAGTATAGCCAACCATGGTACAGTTGTATTGCAAAGCTGCAAGAATAAGGGAAAGAGTAAGACCAGTGATGGGGAACGACGAGAGGTGCCTTTAGAAACAGCACACATCTTTAGGTTAAATAGGATGGATTTCTCAAGCTGGAGTCCTCATGAGATGCAGATTTTTACCAAATTATCTCCATATTTCGGTCACTGGCGCCTCTCCCAGAAATCAAGGCGGCATAACACAAGATGCTTCTATAGCACCGCCCAGACAAGAATTCATTTCGCAAGGAAAGCCGAGCCTGCATAGATGCAAGTAACGGTAGATCAAAGAGGCTTATTTTATCTTGTCAGATTCTGTTCCGTGACACAGGTATGATGTAAATATCCTTCCAAAGAGAAATACAGGAAGCCTCGGCTGGTACAGGTTATCTTGATTTTGATAAGGAACCGTTGATGAAAGATTTGGACCATTCGGTGTGGGTGCACAAATGCCGCTGCGGCGTCTACGCAATAACAGACAAGTAAATGGAATTCAGATGTCACTCTATCGTTTGCAACAGCTGCTCCGAGGTCATATGGGTCGAACACAAGTTTGTGGTGCGAGAAGAAGTCAGTAGAGGGTCTTTCGTAACAGTTTTCTGTAGACTGATGTCACACAGGCTTACCTAAGTCGGGGTGTATATCAGTGTTGTGCCGAGGGAGCCGAGGTCAGACACAAAGTCGGGGACAAGTACCTTTTCCTATGGCCTTCGGTATGGCTCATAGGGCTCGCCAGCTGCTATATCATCTGGACCTGGTTATCACCACGCCTTCGTATTGTGTTCATGCTGAAATTTAAGCAATTCTGAGTCATTTCTACAGTAGTTCAATATTAAGCATGAACAACGGAAGCTAAAGTGTCCTCAATATCAGAGGGTATGCAATCTTGAGTTGATCTTGAGTATGCAATCACTACAACGGGAGTGCGCGTGGTACTTTTCCCCACCCTGAACGCCACCGCATCTGCCCCTGGTCGCGTTTCCGACTTGCCAACCGAGAACGAGTACCAATGTGTATCTAAGCCCCCCCGATCGACATCAGCATCAGTATCAAGGTCACATAGCTCATAGAATTCCGGGCCTGGCCTAGAATTCCAATTCCTCCTCTAAACTCCGTGTTGCCACCGCGCTGATGAGTGACAAACCATGACATTAGACCGTATCTGCTGCGATATATATTGCCATCTTCTAACATTGAAGAATGTTCGGTTTCGCATTATTACGACATGGCTTCGGGGATGTGTGAGATTCCAACTTCAAGAGTAGGATACCTATGTCCTCTGTTGCACCGCTGCTCAAGCTTCACTATCATGTTTCAGCAATGGAAAATCACTCTGTCATGGTTGCTGGAGGCGGAGTTGGTGGAGTTATCATTGTAGATGAAGAGAGGAGTAACTTACGTGTCATCCAAAGAAAACATGATCTGCGCATGAGAAAATATTGCGGAGCAACCATATATTTCATAGCAGATACGGTCTATTGATTCAAAATTGAATGAATCATGAAGAAGGAAGGAAGTAGGTTTCATTAGACCATATCTGCTGCAATATATATTGCCATCTTCTGACATTGAAAAATGTTCCGTTTCGTATTATTACGACATGGCTTCGGGGATGTGTGAGATTCCAACTTCAAGAGTAGGATACCTGTGTCCTCTGTTGCACCGCTGCTCGGGCTTCACTACCATACTTCAGCAATGACAAATTGCTCCGTCATTGTTGCTGGAGGCGGAATTGGTGGACTTATCGTTGTAGATGAAGAGAGGAGTAACTTATGTTTCATCATGATCTGCGCGTGAGAAAATATTGCAGAGTAACGATATATTTCACAGCAGACACGGTCTATTAGTCGTCAGTACTCCTGGATCGTGGTAGTCTCGTTACCATCCTGTATATGAAGCAAGCTGTCGATATCTTGCCACATAGAAGGGACTGTCACAGGACTAGGATCGTGGGTCGGAATTGAAGTCACAGCCATACATCCAATGATATCGTGTTGTAATCCTCCATGATGAGGCCGCCGTGATGATAGGAAACAGATCACTCGTGCTACGTTCTTGAGAATTATCAATTAGCATTCATCCTCCAGAGATATATTCAAGATGGCGAAGGAAGAAAATGGTACAATGTCGATGTATTGCATCCAGAGAGAAACATCAACATCATCCCAGTAGTCGCACTAGTCCTGCCCTTTCGGACCCGCCTGTACCTCCCGCATGTACGGATTCGATAACCTTCGCAGACTGCTTCGCAACAACCTGGTCTACCTCTGAAATCAGGTGCAGCAAGTCCGGCGGTACCAAATATGATGCGACATCGATACAGGAATGGGTTCAACGGCCAGCTGGTACACTACGAGCGCAACCTAATGAAGGCATCGAAGTTGATGGTATCCAGCGTGAGGTAGATCCAGTAGAGAGTGAGTAGTAGGCAACTACGAGGTGAAGGAGTAAACGAACATCGATCTCCGTTGTGGTATATAGTTATCTCGATGTTCCTTACTCAAAAGGTCGTTCATTTTGGATCCGACGTGGAGCACGGAAGGTCCGTGTTGGCTTGTACATGAAAAGAGACACGATTCGTTTCGTCTCAGCGGTGCTCTGAACCTGGACTAGCTAGTCCGACCATTTCCTTGCCAGACGGAAAATTCCTGGTGTGCTCCTTTTCGGATGCCTCCTCTTTACCTCTCATATTCGGATCCCGGTCTGTCGACGCGTTGGCATGAAGATGGCCGAGTACATTTAGCAGGGGCCATTCATGCATGATGCATGGATGTTGTTAACATGAGCAAGAACGAGACGACGAGGAGACAACGGGTTGACTTGCGAAGGACAGAGGATACGCGAAAGAAGATAGAGCAACGGTTTGGTGAACGACTCAAGCTTGTTGGCAACCTTCTTTGATCGTTATGAACTGCACATGAAAGTGACATCAGTACGAGTTTAGCGGGATAGGCATGGCGGACTTACCCAAGATTTGGAGAGCTTTGACAGAGCACGATGCAGAATCCTGCAACTCCCTCCCTCCCAGTCATTTCCCTCTGCACAAACTATCGGGTTGATCCGTCGTCCGATTCTCATTCAAGCTGAGGAACCCTTACTCTTGGAGGTACCCGAAATCTAGCCATGGGAGGGAGCTTCTGTAGTGTGCGTTGCTAGGTGCACAGGCGAGGAATATTGGTTGTCGATGGTAGGAGACGGAAGAGAATTTTGATCGGAGTTTCGGACCCATCTTATCCATCCGATGACCCTCCTACAACTCTTCTCAGCTCCAGAGCGACTAGAGCAAATCGGCGAACCATCCAGCTGTCGATGTACTAGGTAACCTGGCTTGCAATTCTTAGACCACTGCTTTGCCAGGTTGCCAGTGCCTTGAGTCTGAGGTCCTGCTCCCATGACCAATTGAATAGCTAAAGTAGAGATAAGCCAGAAGTGAAGACTTCGACGAGCTACTAGTACAAGGAACAAGAATCAGCTTTCAGGCGATAGAAGCGAAGCACGGATACATACTGGTTGTTGATTGAAACATTGGGCTTGTCCCAATGTGGTCAATATCCCCGTTGCTCTGTTGAGTTGAATAGTTGCATGCTGAATATCGATGACGCGTAGGGTCGTGACGGCGAGTGAAGTACCCTGTGGTAGTTACGACGACTGCCTAGCGTGAGAGCGGCTCCCAGCCGACATATTATAATATATAGCAGTTAACCGCCTGGCATAGATATTACGACAGGTGGCTAGCAGTTGCCTAGCGAGAATGAGGTCAGAGATGTATACCTGCGGAGGATTAGCTAAACGCTGTGCTTTCCTGGTAAGGGGGGGGGGTTAGCTTACGGTGGAGACGATCTGAAAGACTTGAACGATGTCGGTAGGTAAGACGATGCTTCATTTTCTTATGTAGAACACAGCCTTGTACTCGATACGAGTGGTCTGTATGAGCACGACGAGGACATGTACGCAGTGTGGACTGCGAAACATAGACTGTGAAACACCACAATTTTTTGCATTAAGCACATCCCTCCCTCCCATTTGCGCCCTTCGTTCGTATGTCGCTTCGAGTCCAGTTGAATCTGCCAAATAGTCCTCGGTAAACCTTCACGGGAGCAAATCCGCGAGATGCTCGGGTATCTTTGACCTCCGTGAAGAACGTGCTTGAGGGCGCAGAGACAAGTCGCGTTGGTCGGAAATTGGATCCCCAATTGAACTATAGCGAAGTGAGTACAGTTGAAAGCAGAACAGAGAGGGAAAAGTACTAACCATCCCGAGCACACACACCTCTAATTCACAACCCTGCACTCTTAGCTTTGCTCACGTTGTTGTCTGGGCTCCAGATGTGATTTGAGTGATCCGAATATGGACTTAGAGGTCCTTTTGTTGCATCGCGCAGCAGAAATGCCAGACATGGCGGCTGGGGCATCAAAGCATCGCATCGGGAGAACCACCTCTCGAGGAGGACACGTTTGGATTGGTCGGTGTAGGTTTAGAGTCCGACTGAGACCAGGCGAGTTGTGTCATTTTTGGTCGGGTGGGCGATGCGTCGGAGGGCTCATCGATTACAGCTCGCAGAGTAGGAAACCTGTAGTAGCACGCTTGTCTGATAAAATATGGATGGTGTTCGGTCTCAATGTATGGAGAGAGAACGGAGAACCTGACAAGTGGCCGGTAGGCATGTCGGCTGGAGAAAAGGACATCGCTGTCTTCGCCATCCATATCGTACGACTCATCGCTGTTGGCTTGGGAAGCTACGCCACAAGTCTCGTATTTGGGAAAGCAGGACTATCGTGCATTCGGGGCGAGCGGCGGAACACATATGGGTAAGTGTAACGGTGCTTCAAAAGTTTCTGCGATGTAGGTCGAGGGAACGAGGGCCAGGTCAAAAACAAACCGCCAGTAAACGGCTTATCAATATCCTTGGAGCTGATACAAAGTGATAACAATGTCGTCGAACTTCTCGATGAAGATGAACAAGCTGCCTGGTGACCACCATGAACTGTACTAGATACAATGTCAATAGGATTTCTGCGAGATAAAGAATGACGGACATACCAAAGAGTCGTACAACCAAAGACGGTCTCCCAGCTGAACCTGTCGATTCCTCTATAGCCACCCTCGAACACCAGATTCTGTGTCTCGCTTCCTCCTATGCCATCCTCTGCTCAAAATTGACACATTGGCACGTCATCTATGCGAACCAAGTCCGAGCGTCTCTACCTCTTTCGGTTCCCTTCTCTCCAGTTGTCACGATGACATGCATCGTCTGTGCGAATCAGACTGCGAAAGTCGTTCTACTGTTGGGAGACGCAAAGCATGTCCGTGGATTGTGGAGCGGTCCGTGAGATCCAAGTTCCGCTAGGAGTCGACGTCCTGTTCAGCACAGACTAAGCTCAGAGATTGAGGTGTCTGTCTTGCGTTGCATTATGGCGGTGCGAGTATCGAAGATGATATGAATCTTGGGAGGAGGGCTCTCGGTCGGTAGGTCCTAGTAGATGCGCCGGGAGATGTGAAATGTATCGAAAGCGTATGGTAGAGCGTAATCGAGCAAAGTTCGTCTTCGTTGGTGGCGGTCTCTTTAGAACTCAGGTGGCTGTGCTACGAACCCATCCAAAACCCTCTCCCCTGCCCTCTCTCCGATGGCTCTCAGCTTGCCATCCATCCAGGATAATTACGATTCTACATGGGACAAACTGCTTCAGAGCGCTCCGTCTCCCCTCCGAAACCTCCTACAATCACGTTATTGTGATTTGAATGCAGTTGCACTCCAGCTGTTAGGCTGTTAGTCACTGGGTAGACAAACTCACAAAGAGCTTCCCCTGCCTGTGCTCTGTATTTATACTATTTACTCCTGAATCTAGTACTTTCTCCCCATTTCCTCCGGGTTCCATCTTACTAAGCATGCCGAGACATGCCGTATCACCGGAATATCACAACACACGTCCAGACCATCAAGGGTGGATTCACATCTACGCGATTGATGCTTCATCGCGAGGATGGCTGATTGCTAATTTCGATGCATTCAGCGAGGCCTACCCTGCTCGGTTAGTAATATTTCCCACATCAATCATGGTCACTGATGGTTGCCTATTAGACTGGAAATCATTGAGGAACAGCTCATTGTTAAATACCCAAACCATATCCATGAGTTCGCTACATCTGTGATTTCACGGGCGGTCTACCAAACCACCGATCTCAAACATAACGGTCCCACAGACATCCCTCTTCTGGGCGGTGGTATAAAGCAACCGAACTATCAGGTTTTTGATGATCGGGACCCAGCGCCCTGCGACAAGGAAGCCGAGATACTTTATGCGTTCCCTTCTCTCATCGTCGAATGTGCACCCACAGAAGCCGAGTACGATGTCATCCAAGACATTGTACTTACTCTGCTCATGTCACAAAAGCACCTCTCAGGCCTTGCACTCAAGATATACAAAAAGAGCGACGGCATGATTGACAAGCTCGTAGCGCACCTCTTTATCTATATGGGACCCAGGGGGGTTGAACGCGGTACCAACTACTCAGAGCATGCGAAGAGAAAAGCCAGAATACTTTACGGTCACAACCCTAATGACAGTTGGGTCGAAGCGAAAACTAACGAGGACTACGACGCATTCAGGCTGTATGGTGATCTTATTGAGGATTCGGATGAAGGGCGTTGGTATTGGGACGTAGAACGTGTGGAACATATTATCGTTGGCATTTGTCTCCTATTATCTGCTTGGATTGAATATTGAAGCCTGACTCTATGCACCCAGATTGACACTGAGAACCATGGGAAGGACCAAGACATCATTATACAAAGAGGCCATGTCTATCGGAATACGCCAGCAGCTGACTATTCCAGCACCGCGTTGGTCTTTCCAGCAGACGAGCTCTGGAAGGCTCTCCTCGAGAGCCACAGGCAGGATGTCATCCGGAAAGTTGCTGATGAATCTGTGGCAAAACTTTATCCTACCGAAAGATTTGTGGAGACAGTGCCACTGAAGCGGGAACGTGAAATGCTGGAAGAAGTGCACAGCAAGAAGAGTGCCAGGACATCCTGACTGTATCTGCAATTATGAAGTGGTTTGTAGCTGGTTATGTGTGACTCCAGGGTATGTCTGCCATCGTCACCTTGTTGGGCTTGCACTAACGCAGCTTTCATATGCAGGTCGAGGTGGTCATTGAAGACTATCAAGATGCACAGCCTTTGCAATATGAGCTTGAGCTCGCATAACGTATATATGCGATCCTGGATATGCATCAATCAGGCCTTCCATGGACATCAACCTCTCTGCGTATGCTCTCCTTCCGTGGTGATGCTCTCGTCGCCGAGATATGAGAACTTCATCTAGGGAGCTGATTGTCGGGATATGTTAATAATTGATAGTGTACTTGCTTTAACTACGTTCAAATATGCAAGGACGCGTAATAATAACGGCTGTACCTGCCAGACAATCTTAGCACCAAAGAAGGGATTACAGCGCTGAGTGAATCCACTCGGTCAGGGGAACCACGAAGTCTGACTTGACGTGCCCCAGAATCCGAGGTGGAGGAGGAATGTCAATTGTGGGAAGAGGTGGACGACACAGAAGACGCTCAGAGCACTAATCCCCTCCACATTACGAGAACACAGCCAGCATGACACACACTAGGACGACACGCTCACGACACACTCCACGGCTTCAGGCTCGGCCAACCACAGAAACAACTTGATTAGCCCAACACAGAGTGAAAAAGTGACATAAACGTCTGTTACTATACTCCATACTCTATACAACACGCCGAAATACCGGAAGAAATCATACCAATGATCGAAGGGACTAGAGTCGGGACAAGAGGGAAGGAGGGAACCTGACAAGTTGTACCTCCATCGTGTCTTAGTAAATAGTGTACATGTAGTGGTGGTTAATAAAACGCCGAATCCAAAAAAAAACACCCGCCGCAGAGTTACATAGCCAAAGCCTTTTTCTTGATGAACTCATCCAGCGCATCAAGAACGACACAAACATGGTTGAACGATTCCATCTCTTGTGAAAGGATTTTGGTGATAGCGTTAAAGGAAGGTTGTGTCCCGTCACGAAGACACTGGCTATAGAACATTAGGATCGCGGAAGAGAGGCCCTTGTCTCGAACAAGCTGCTCCAAGAAGTCACAAAGCACCTTGTCTATGCGTTTTGCGGCCCCAGATTGGAAATCACAAAAGATACTCAGGATGAGTGTCTTTTTCTCCTGGTCCACTGGTAGCGACCGCAGATAGTCGATGATGATGGACGCCAGGATGGTCTTTCCGACACCAGCTGGAGAGATACATATATCAGGGTCAAGAAAACAGTGAATCGGATATCTGACTGACGATCGCCGGGAAACCACAGGCACGACGATACTGCCGTACCGTCTACCCACTGTCGGAACGGTTCGGACTGAAGGAACAAGCGACCAGCATCCCCCACCACCTGCTGGCTCAGCTTTTCAGCTTGTATGGACTTGAAATTTGAGTCAGTGAGCGAAGAGATAACACGCATCACCATGCCAGCATCTGCCATCTCAACCCATCAGTGACCAGTATGGAAAACACAGATAGCGCGCACAATCCTGGTCCTTCTCCATGTTACTTCGGATTTGCGATAGCTCGCCATCGATACGCATGACGTGGTCGCTGACCTTGACGACATTTTTGCCTACGAGGTTTACGTCGTCCTTGATGCGTTTGGTATTATCCGAAATGCCGTCGACCTTTGCGTCGACAGTAATCAAGGTTTTGTTGAGCGCGCGAGATAAAGCCCTGGGGTGGGGTACCCACGCTTAGCATCTGCTGGCGAACTGACGAGACCCTATGTACTCACGCATGATCGTGCTGTACGGCGACCATCACCAAGGACTTGATCCGCTCGATCTTCTTCAGAGCCTCCTCAACGCTCTCCTTGCTGAATTTCCACAGCAGTCTCTGCTTCATCTTTCCCAAAGGCCCATCCGATGCAGGCTCCAATTTCGTCTTGACGCTTTTCAGTAATTCATCTAGCTGTGCAAAAGGGCCTGACAGTCTTTGCACCGTCTCAAGCCACGGGTCGTCTGCCGCCGCCGTCTGGGTGAGCCGATGCACCGTGTCCAGATAGATCGCAAGGTTCGAGAGCTCCCTGTCGAGCTCGTCTCGCTCTTTGGGTGCGTCTTTGACATCTTTGAGATATTTGACGATAGTATGAGAGACGTCGAGGAGGGAGACGATGGAGGATGCGATTCCAAGAGCCTCTGCCATAGTGGATGATGTGGGGAGAGAGGAAGCGCCGTCAAGCTGTTTTCAATACGCAATACAGCAATGCAACGTGGTGGACATACAGCAAGATGGTACAGCCAGGCCTCACCAAATCATCAACCACTGGCTTCGATTCCCACCTTCACGCTATCACTTCAATACTTAGATGATACTTCTCACGCCTTTGGGCGTCTGTCAAAGTCGTGTTCGTGTTCGTGTCGCAAGTACATCAGTGCAGTGTTGTAAAATCCAGGAAAAAACCACTGATGCCCTACTTGTGCACAATCACTCTAGTTTTCCGATGGAGTACAACTGTCGGAGGGAGCTTCCCGGGCACCATTAGAGGCGAGAGAGTGCCTGAGATGCGGCGCAAACCTCGAGTAGTCTTCTAAGCGTGCTTCACATCCCAACGGCTGCGAATTGTTCGACGAACCCGCTTCTGGGATCTCCGAGACGATTAGCCGACATGCATGGACTAGAAGGCTTTCAGTCGGGATTCCCATCTCCGGTATTGAAATTGAGTTGGCTCAATATCAATCGCAACGCCGTCTTCATGTAGGCTCGGAGGATTTTTTGGGGGGCTGACAAGGGGAACAACGGATGACGCTGCAACTCGAGCTCTGAACTCTCCGGTATGCATACAGATGCAGGTAGATGGGAAGAAATGATTGTACGCCTTGTTTATGAAGTGGATGTGAAGTGGGGAGCAGAGAAGTGAATCTTTTGAATTGTCGATATTCTTATTCTGCAGAGTCAAGCTGTATATTCCGGCCACCACCACTTGGAAGGAAGTACGCGTTTTCGGGTAGTCAGGATTTTATGCATTGGGGTTCCAGAGAGTGTAGCTGAGAAAGGAAGCGGGAATGGGAGATGCAGAGACGGGCACGACGGAAATGCGCTGAGGGCTCCGACGACATTGCCGACAAACTCGTGAATGATTCCTCCTCTCTACGAACGAACTGCAGATGACAGTCGCGTCAATACAAATTCAATGTTCGAGGTGACGACGGTAGACATACCCTGGAGCCGTCGCTGGTACAGTGAGCAGGAGGCTGGTCATGCATGGCGCGTGGATTTTGATGTATGAAAGAAGCAAGAGACGGCAGGTTGACTTGGGCATAAAGGACAGGATACGTATAATTGATCCTGCACATCTGAGACGTTCCCCTGCAATCGGACGCACAAGAAACATTCACAGCAATGATACTAAGCGCTGTTCGACCAGCTGAGATACGAGGAGGCTGATGGACGTGAAGAGAGAATCTAGGGGAGAGAGACGTCACCAAAAGAAAGATAAAGGCCAGGATTTGGACGACTCACGTAGCGGAGAAGGATAGTAAACCTGTAGCTGTTGATGTTCTCTACGCTGTAAAAACCTTGGACGACATCGTGTAGTTACCAGCTTGGGAAGTACTAGGCAACCCTAACATTCAGGAAGAATATACCGGTCCAAGGTATGGCGGCGAGAGCGGCAAACGCCGGATGTTTTTGGAAGATGAGATAACCGTCTTCGAGCTGAACGTTAACCGTAACGATGGCTAAGACACCGCCTGCCCTCAGTGCGGGGATGCTGTCCCGAAGTCATCTCTATATCTCCTTCCACTCAAAACCACCGTGATGACACGTCGTCTGAGTGAAGCTGCGGAGGAATTCCCACACCAAGAAATCGAACAAAACTACGATGAAAGGAGGAGTTTTTTTGTGTGCACGTGTCTTCAGTCAAGGAAAGTAAGCGAATGAGAAGGGCAATGCGTCAAGTAATGGTGGTGGTAAGGGTGAAGAGGGATGGTGGACTATCTGCGTTATCGTGAATAAACGTTAAACGTTGACCGAAGGGTCGCTGCAAGGAGGTGAGTCGATCCCAGCGATTGATGCATGTCGAGCATTAGAGGCGTTCTGTGGAAACGCGTGCCTGTGTTGGAGGTCGTGAATATCGGTACCTCCCAAGCGTTACCGAGCATAGTCGCTTGAATCGTGAACACGCGGACCTGTAAAAGAACCTTGAGAAAGAAGGAAAGGAGTAAAGCAGCAGGCTCACTATCGGTGTCATGGCGGCAGAGGTTAACGAAAACTTGTATTACTGTGAGTATCACGCGTAGGAACTTTTCTAGATAATTGTCACTGGATAAGATTCTGCCACCGTCTCGAATTCCACGATGCATTCTCTGTGGTATACAGCGTCCGGCGGTTTCTTTGACGCTTATGCACTCTTCAGTCACGGTATGAGTCCAGAGCGAACCTTCAATCAGGAAAGCGGGGAGCGACATGGCAAGTTATCTGCTGATAGTGATAAGCAAGAGTCGGGGCAACACAGCCACTGCATACGCGCGTCCAAAAGAGGCATTCAACGCTTGTCATCATCATCTTCATCACAAAGGATTCTTCTCTCTTCGCGCCTCAAGCTCGGGTTCAGCGTTCAAACGTTCAAGCTTAAGCTCATGCTTCACATGTGTCGCAACTCATAGCTAGTCCTTAAGATCCATATTGGTTCGGTTCCAATCGAACGGACACTCACTCCATAGAGAATTTACGTATTAGCCCGGGCAAAGAAGCCTTCGTCAGCACTATCGACGCTCAATACAACGTCGATGACTCTGTATCGACTCAGGCGGAGTCATTTGCCGGTATTCCTGACGAACGTTCGACACACAACGTATTCACAGAAGCCCTTTCCTTCGTCAACGTTATGCCTAATTCCTCGGTGCGCAAATTTCCCCAAGGAAACGGCTTCTCAAAACTCCAACATGACTCGGATTACGTGTCGACATGATAGATTCAGAGAGAGACGCAGAGATGGGGGTACAAAGGAGGCGCTGGATTCAGCAGCGTGCAGGCATGAGAAGGGAGAAATGTTTCCGTGACTTTGGCTCACCGTGGATTCTGGAGGGAGGACAGCTGAGGGTGCTGCATTCATCTTTGTCGAGCGTGTCGCACACTCTACCCCAAGACCAAATCTCGTACGCCCACAAACCTCATCCCGCCAAACTCGTATTGATATCGTCTTCACCTGCAGTTCATAATACCAAAGATTGTTGACGAACACCGTGACTCTGTTCCCGTGTACACGCGTCCTAATTTCTTGATCTAGAGCTCTCAAAGACACCCAGGCTTCATCAAATCTCGCCACACTCCATTCAGCCTGTCGCCTCCGCTTCTTGCCTGCGCCGACATCCACGCGATGGTTCACGCTAGCAGGCTGATTTGTCCCCATACAATATGAATCGATCAAATGCCCGACTCCCAGCGTCAGATCTCGGAAGTGGACTAGGCTATACAGCTTATCTTGGCCTTTCGTTGCCTTTGTATGCCGCAAAAATGGGGTACGGAAAACTCAATGAAAGTTTTGTCCTATCAACCTTTCGTGTACCGAGCCCAGCTTTCTTTTTCCCGGCCGAAAAGTTATTTCCTTTGTTCTGATCGCGGAGGAGGCCGTTTTCAGGTTCCCTTCCTTCGTACGGAAAATTTCTCATCTTTCAATTCATTTTTGTGAACTCATTTTTTTTAACCATTAGGCGTTCCAACGAAATGTGGCAGTATTTTGAGGTCTCTTCAACATCTTTTGGTTCCGGCTCCAGCAGCACGGAATGTAAGCGCGTCTGCAAGGGTAGGACTTGTGCAATCATGCTTAGTCTTTTCTTTCTGGATGCACTATATCGACATCATTACACCCAACTTCACCGGCCTGAATATAGCTCCGAAGATGTATCCCATCTGACAATTCTGAAGGACCTAACATGAATGATTTACGACATCATATAGGCATAGCTGTGACTTTGACTTTGACCACAAGGGTGTGCGCCTTGCTACTCGGGCCTCCCAGCCAATCTTATGACACCGGTTACGAGACAAAAATGCTGGATTCACCCAGATAAGTATACATGAACAGTCGCTGTCCTATCTCCATTGATTTCGGCACTTGTCTTCCACTTGTTTAAAAACGCGGCCCAACTAACCTAGTCCTCCACGCTTGCAAGACTTGCATCTACTACTACCTAACAAGCACTTCTATCCCGAAATCGATCACCATGTCTTCAGACCCCTCTGTACCCGATGCTCGCGCTGTCGCCGAGACCATTGACTCGAAGGACCTTGTCTTCGGTCGTACAGTTGTCCCAGTTGTGGACCGAAACAAAGCACCCAAGAAGGGCAAGCTTGGTGAGCACTTTCTTCCGTTAAGTGATTAGGCCGAATGATCGTTGACACGCTTTCCAAGGCTTTGAATATGCAGAGCACTGCTTCATTGGAGACGCGACCACCCTGACCCTCGCGAATGGCGCAAAGGTTGCCGCTTCTGACCACAAGTTCCGGCTCAAAGATCAGATCAGTCTGACCTACGGCCAGATCAACGGCCTTGCTGGGGACTTTTATGGGACCTACGACCCTATCAGTGACGGCAAAGACGACCAAGACCGCTCTGCGCGCTTCGTGCGAGCGTACAACACACTTGCTGATGGTGGTCCCCGCCTGCCGAAGGAAGCGATGGACATCCTTGCGGTGTTGCAGGCGGAGGTCGATGCAGTTAACAAAGCTCTCGCGAACCATCAAGATCCCTCTGTCGTCTACGCTCAGCTTCCCGATGTGAGCGCAAAGTTGGAACTGATCACTTATGGGCGGAGTGGCATACCTGCGTACCTTGGGCTAGCGCAGATCAACTGGGACCATTTTGGAGCGGATGCGCGTACGGCATATAATGCTGGACATGCGACTGCGATTCAGAAGGCGATCAGTGGGGATTTGGATAGTGCGTACGCGATGAATGCGTTCGCTGATCATTTCCTGGAGGATTCGTTCTCTGCTGGCCACCTCCGTACCCCGCGCCGACTCCTTCATAGGAGCACGGATATTACAGCGGATGCTTGTGCCAAGGTTTGTTTGACCGTCTTTTGCAAACCTCGAATCGACTCTGATGTTTACCTGTAGTTTATGCACGATGAGGACAACGCGATCGGGATAGAGGCGAAGAATCCAGGAGGTCAGTCATGGACGTTGTACGGGGACAAGCGCGCACTCGATTCCGTCAATGAGGACAACAAGACACGCTGTGTAGATTCGGTGCAAGCCTCCGCAGACGAGATCTACAAGGCGTATCAGACCAAGCAGGCACCTTCGCCGGCCAACTACCAGGCGTGGACTTTTGCTCCCACGCTGGAGTCGGCGAACGCCCATCAGACGCTAGCGACGCTTTTCACATTCAAGAACGAGAGGCGCAAGGTGATCGAGAATCGGAGGCTGTGGAATTTCAAGACCGACTGGTGGTTCTGGTCCACTGCGCTTGAATGCAAGACTAGCGGCTGGTGGAACTACCCGATTACGATCAATGGGGTGCAGAATGTCCTTCCCTGGAGCTCTGTCGCCGTCACTACTCCGAGGGTGTGGCACATTCACGTGTTCTACCAACAGCCCGGCGGTGGTATACTTCAGAGTGAGCATCTGGATGGACTGTGGGGTGGCGGGCCCAGCAAGGATCCCATCTTCAATGCTATGTTGTTTACACCGTTGGCTGCTATCAACTTCAATGGTGGAAAAGAGGTTAGTGTATCAAATCGGCACAAAGCGCGTAAATCCTCTGATGGCATCAATAGGTTCGTGTCTACTACCTCGACGAGCAGTACATCCTTCAGGAGTACTGCTACTCGGCCGATCAAAGAAAATGGTTCCCCGGAGAGCTGGGTAACATGAAGATCCAAGCAGCTACTAATACGTCGATCGCGGCTATGCAGTATGGCGACGACCGGGGAGGTGTCCACATTCGCGTGTACTGTCAAGGTAAGGAAGGTAGCTGAACATCGTCTCGATGCAATCTAAATTACCGAGATCAGAATTGGGTTCCGGTGCCATCAAGGAATTCTGCAATGACGGCTATTGGTTCAGGGGGGCGACCCTTCCGGTCGCTCTCAGTGGGTCAAGTCTCGCGGCGGTGGCCTACTCGTGGAGTGGTCTCCAGCTACGTGTCTACTATCAGACCGACGACCTTTCCATCAAAGAACATTGCTTAAATGATAACAGTGGATGGTTCCCAGGTCAGTGGCCGGTATTATAGAATTTGATTCGCTCGTTTAACCAGGTTTTCGGTCTATCATAATAGTAAATCGGACTTTGGGAAAGCTCCAGGATGTGTCCCTATCAGCGCCCTTGGTTATGGTACGAGCGATGGGGGCGCAGAACTGCATGTGTACTGGCGCAACTTGGAAAACAAGATCGTTGGAACGAAGAACACTGGCTCCTGGGGACTCGTCAACACGGTCGTTGGAGGTCTCAAACCTGGCACTCAGTTCGCTGCTGCTCAGTGGAGTAATGGGAAGAATCTGAGGCTTTACTATCAAACTGCCGATGATTCTGTCTTGGAGATGGTCAACGACAGTGGCTCCTGGGTGGGCGGAGCTACCGTTGGCAATGCTCGTTAAACAGATGGCAAGATTTACTGCGCGGGTATGTCTTGGTTTCTGTCAATAAACTTTGATTGCTTATGATGCAATAGCAGATGTGTCCTAAATCTGCTTACTATGGAATTCTGCTTTACTTCGCTACCCAGATATCTTGTTGTTCGTGTTGTTCTCGCAGCTATTCCATGATACAATGTGTACATCTTAAATAACAATCTCTATTATCGATCGGCGCGCTCTACTCCACCGAGGACCCGAATAGAGGAAACTCACCGTGTGCTGTCCAGTAATTCGCGCACTCAACTGCCTAACATCGCTGGGACGGAAAGAGAGTTTGATCTCACCGGATCGGGCTGGGTCCAAACTCTGGTTCTTTCTCAGCCATCAAGTCCATTAAGTCTTCTTGCTCTCATTTTGCACTATTGGATCTCCTAGCAACGATACACACAAGCCGTCCACAGCGCGTCTCAGGGGATTGGCGCTTAGCGCTTAGCTACGAAGCTCTTATTCTTCGATTCTGGGTGCTATCCTGTTATTCGTAATTTCCTTGTGGTTCCTTACAGCCGGCCACCGATGCTTAACACGGCGCTTGTATGCATGAACAACCCATACTTATCGGGTTTCTATCAAACAGGTGATAGAAGTTGCACCTATTGATGGCTATCTAACACCAAAGCTTTTTTTAGCAGCGTTCACCCAATGGACTCTATACAGGGTCCTACACTATAGGAATTCTTTCCTATCTCCCAACCACTAGCGCCAGGCCCATGTCCCCGCAGTCATCTTCAAATCTCGCAGACTGTCCACATTTATTTTTTGGTACGTGAGCAATTCACTTCTTATGTATCTCGCACTCTAACTCGATTTAGTGATACATGCAAGAATGATCGCTGATCTACTGAGGATCTGATAACGAAAGCCAAGATTCTTGTATTGAAACTTCAAAAAGCGCGACGTCCATTCCTTACCCCACTTCTTCCCCACCCCCCTCCCCCCGACTACTTCCCTTGCTCAAGAAGGTCGTTATTCATTCGCAGACTTTACTTGTATTCGTTATGTGCCACGATGCAGATTTGACAAAGTTACAAGACACGCCTTACGTCGTCGCGTTCCACGAGAATGATCGTGTCAGGATGTTGGGGTTTTTTGAAGAAGCGTCCGCTCGGACAATCTATGACCACGTGTCAAAGGAATGGGCCAAGGTACTCATGGATAGGCGACGATCTGAGGTGCGTTTTCATATCGTCCGCTGTGGTCATTAGCACTCATCGTAACCATAGATTTTGGAATCTTATGGCGACAATCGTTGGATCAAGCAATGCACAGAAGAGGTTCTGAAGTTCAACGTGTTTGCTGTGGTCCGTGCCCATGATGTGTCTTTGTCGCCCGACAATGCGCCCTACGTTGTCGCATTCCACCAGCGTGACTGCGTCAGGATGATAGGTTATTCGGAGCGTGGAGTCGCTCAGACGGGATACAACAGCATCTCTAATGAATGGGCCAAAATATTTGTCAATAGACAACGTCGGGAGGTTCGCTGACTTTTCGTATGTCTGTGCGATGGCTCTAACAATGAGAATGATAGGTATTGACTTCTTACGGGGTCAAACACTGGAGCAAGCAGTGCGAAGAAGAGGTCCAACGGCTCCCCGCTTTCGACGATACTGCTCTTCTGCAGATTGCTCCTTACATCGTGGCATTCCATCAAAGCGACTGTGTTCGAATGATCGGTCTGTACACTGCAGAATCGGCTCGAGCAGTGTACGGTGCAGTCTCAGAGGAATGGGCAAAGGTCGTCTCTGATCGGGAACGTTCTCAGGTGCGACTGTGACTTGGAACTTTGTGATGGTATTATTGAACCAGATGGACAAGGTGTCAGCGTCCTACGGCTCTGACTACTATGTCAAGCTATGCAAAGAAAGGATCTCGCAGCTGAATGCCTCCAAGTTCAACGGCACCGTGCCATTGCAGCATGCTCCTTATATAGTCGCTTTGCACCAGAGCGATCGCGTCAGGATGGTTGGCTTCTCCAAAGAAGAGTCTGCTTGGACGGTTTATAACACCGTCTCAAACGAGTGGGCTAAGATACTTATGGACAGACGACGCTCTCAGGTATGCTTTTCCGATTAAATTTATCAAGCCGTTGTGGTATACTAATGACATATCTACTTCAAAGAACTTGTTCTCTCATGGCGGTGCCCGCTGGATCAAGCAATGCAAGGAAGAGGTCCTGCGGGTGCCTCTATTCGAAAACCCTATTTTACTGTCGCAGAGCGGGCCTTACGTTGTTGCGTTTCACCAAAATGACTGCGTTAGAATGATTGGCCTCCCCACGGAGGGATCTGCTCGAGCGGTTTACGACATGATCTCCATGGAATGGGCGAAGATCCTCGTGGATAAACGAGATTCTGAGGTAGGTTTTCACTATATGCGGGTTTCTGCGATAACTCGTTGAGAATGACTACCAGTTGTTGGCGTCTTATGGTTCCCGTTACTATACCAAGCAATGTGGGGATGAAATTCGCAGGCTCGATACATTCCAGAGCATTATGCCGTTGCGGACTGCGTCTTACATCGTCGCCTTCCATCAGAGCGACCGTGTCAGAATGCTTGGCTTCTCTGAGGACCGAGCTGCGCGCGCGGTGTACGGTGCTGTCTCCGACGAGTGGGCCAAGGTTCTCGTGAATAGACGGTATTCTGAGGTGAGTTTCTGGCCCTCCGTGTGTTGCGATGTGTTTCTAATCAGCTACTAGATGCCATTGGCGTCGTATGGTTCTGCGTACTATGTCAGGCAGTGCGAAGAAGAGATCCTTCGGCTGTAGCGACATCTGAACTGCTAGTAACCACTTCAGTCTTGTCCGAATGTATTAACTCTTTTGAAGAAATGTACTGAAATTGTAATAGCGTGCAATCCAGCCTCTTTCTCGGGGTTTCCTCCTTTTCTTCTAGGATCTGGGGATGAGTAGGTTTCCTAGGCGAGAGGAAAGTTTCTTACGTGGGTTAGGAAAGATAGCCAAAACTAGCGATTATAACAGCAATAAACAACTTGAGAAAGCTGGTATATACCGGTCCAGCGTTGGACTCAACGTAACCGCTCGCAGATGTGTCAGTTCATACACAAAACAGAGATATAACACCAAAGAAAGCAGGAAGGAAGAGAAAAAAGCTTGGTCGCGTGAATCTGACCCGGCAGTTGCCGCGAACTTTATCTCCTTGCCTCATCCACGGTATATGCCCCCATGCCATTGAACGTATTGAATGACCATGGAACCAATGGTCAGATCATTAGAACGAGAAAGAGACCTACGAGCATAGTCCTGAGCGGGAAAATTACCAGGGATTGAGGTAAGGGACTGTCTTTCCCTCGTTGGTTCTACCGCTGACTGAGCAGTAAGGTGTTAGACAGATGATGTATAGTCCTGGATTACGGTTACCAAGTTTTCGGGGATTAGTGCGAGGAGCCATGATGCATGAATCTCGAAGCGTGTTAAGCGCGTTGTTCAGAATGAAGGCGGCCGTATCATCCAGAACTTCACGACAAGGTCATACGTACGAGCTCGGCTTCGTATACGCTGCCTCTTGGATCAACTAGGTGACTCTTGGAAAAAGGATACAAACGCATCATCAGGATCGAGGTAAGGTTGTATCATCCCCTTGTTTTCATATCCATCATGGAAGAGTGTCGGCCAGGCAATACATAATCGTAACCAGTTGAAGAGAGGGCTTGGGGCGAAAGATTTTGTGCTTTCAGGGATATGTAAGAGCTCGCCTGGGTAAGTGTATCATCCATATTGCTCAAACTGAAGCTAACAAGACTACATCAGCGAGGCGAATGGAATGGTTTATTCGAATATGTCGTATTCGCGTTTGCCAGCATCTATAGCGCTGATCAATTGGTGTGTTGTAGTTTCCCGGAATTGCACCTTTTCGTTTATGACTCAATCTGAACTAGCTGTTCGGAAAGTCGAAGGAAGAAAAACGGTAAAACAATAGCATTCTTCAATTTTCACGTCCACCATGGTGTGCTGCTCCTCACTTCTCTTACTTTGTTATACGATTGTTTTCCTCCAACAGTATACATTTTTTTGGAGCCCAAACAACACCTAGGATGGGTTCACAGGGGGTAAACGGCTCGCGTTTGTAGCGTTTGGAGGGAAAGGTGCGTTTAAGTACTATAGTATTTTCATCTGTGACATAACAGCGCATAGCATAGGTGGAGCACGCTCACAAATGCGTCGACACCCATCCCTGCCCGCCCCACGCGCATTCATCAGAGCATGTTGCTCCCAACCATTCCGTCCCTCCCCTCCCTTTACGGTCTTCTCCTTCCCTGCATCGTCTAGCGCTGGTATGATACGCGGTTGTCTGATGAAGGACATCGCGTTTGAGTTGGCTGCTATGAAGATGGTCAATAGCGGAGGAAGGGAGAAGGTCGTATGGTGCAGAAGAATGGACGTAGAAGATGCACTATCCGGAGATGAGGGCATCACGGGTATTTACTAGGAAGGAGGACTCGGACGTAGCGAAGGGACGTCGTCTGTGGTAAGCGCTAGCTTGGAGTGCAACCTGTGTAATAGGTGCAGAATACATCGGTGTTCATAGACTCTTGACTATGGGGTGCCTACCTTTTATTCCGGCCATGGTGGCCCTAATCCACTTCGGCGCACAACTCATATCTATGTGAACACCTTGACGATTCCTGAGTGCAGCTTCTGGATTCCAATCGTCTGCGACTATTACTGGTTAAGACGGCGGCATTTCCATTGATGTGAATTAGAGAAATCCACCATCAGTCGACATATCGACTGTCTCTTCATCGCGAAGGCCACCTGAGATAACAGCGACCGATAATCGGAAGAGCGAAGGCAGCATAAATGGGATCCTTGGATAATCAAATCTTCGAGAATTTGCATGTTTTGTCAGACTGGCCCGAGCGTCTTAGGATGGAACCCATACAAGTTACATGGCTTGCATAAATAGTGGGCATGCATATAAGAACAAAGCCGTATGCCATACACACAGCGTGTCACTCATTTAGTCTCCAGACCCTTGCCTCCACGTTCTGCAAGAAGTACTGCTACCTCATCGTGTTCCGTTTCAACTGCTATTTCGTATGGACTTTTGCCATCGCTGTCCTTCACCATGATGTCAATACCTGTGTGATCCAGTAAACGTTTGACAATGTGCGCGTTGCCCAAATAGGCAGCAAGGTAAAGAGCGGTCCTTCCCTTGCTATCGGTCCTATTCACATCCATTCGACCCGACTTCAAGAGCATCTCGACGACACCATACTGACCAGAGAGAGCAGCAGTATGTAAAGCCGTAAACCCATTGTCCCCTGGAGTATTAGGATCATCATCTTCCCGCTCCAAGAAGATCTTCACAATGTCACCTCGACCTTTTCTTGTAGCAAGTATAAGGGGGGTCTGGTATTTAAATCGGATGGAGGTATCGATGCCAGGCTGCGACAACAAGAGCTTCACCACTTCAATGTGATTACCCAATACGGCGGCTGATAGTGCTGTGGGTCCAGAAGGAGGTAGCATGTTCAATGATTTCATGTCTTTAGACTCTAGAAGTGCTTTGACGATTTCTTCGTGACCATTCGATGCTGCGGCAATGAGAGGTGTGCAGGAAATAGCCCGAGTTTCGGGGTTTCCATACATCGCGAGTTGGTATGAGATCGGATTAAAGGACCCATAATGGCGATGGAAATCAAGATATGTGACCTTGTCAGCTTGGTTCACATCCACGTCGTCTCGTGACAGTAACATGTTTACTATATCAAGCTGCCCTGCGCGCGCTGCTATACACAACGTGTTTTCCTCCTGCAAGTCAACCCCTTCATCGACCAGCATCTTCATGACATGTGCCAGGCCATAATGGGCAGCAAACCATGCGGGAGTGCGTGGTGCTTTAGGTTCTGTGCCTGGCCATTGCTCACAAGACAGAGCAATTACTATCCGAGTTGACAAGAAAGCAAGGATCTCCTTTTCCATAGAGCCTGGCGAGCATTTCCTGGCATGGTATGTCCAGTTATTTGATGAATATTTGAGAAAAGGGCAATGGTCTTTCCGGTCATCGTAATACCCTAGTGCGAAATTACCGGGAGAGTCAAAAATGTCGAATGACATGTATGTCAGGCAGGTGCGGGTGATATCTGACTCCTGGATGTGGGGGGAAAGCCTATCTTTGTGCAAAGTGAAATATTCTTGGACAGTATAGTCTAGTAAATTATTCAGCAGGTGAAGAGAGAGAAACCGAGATTTGAATACTACTCACGTACAAACCTGACCTCTCCTTTGCTGCCAATGATGACAAGGCCCATGCAAACACTTGTAATAATGTCCTCGTTGGTAATAGTAGCTGGATCGAGTTGTTTAGTTCCTGGTTCTATGGCCAATGCGTACTGCAGTTCCAACACTGTCAAGGGTCGTGCAGCAAAGGTTACCCAGCCGAATATGCGATAGGCGAGGTCTTTGTTCGGTAGACTGTCTATCCTAGCCAGCAGATACTCATACGTCTGCGTAATGGTATCCGGCAGTTTATCCAGCTCCTTATTAAGCTGCGCATGATTAATAGAACGGGCCAACAATTCCATGTGCATCCTTGCTAGAAGCAACCTGTATCAACACCATCAGCAGACAGGATAGAGGCTATGCCATTGGAAACCTACACGCCATCCGCCTTCTCCACAACCGCCTTGAGTATCTTCTCGTACAGATTCTTGTTTTCAGAGAGAAAGGTAAGAAGATTTCCCTTCATGAGCCCGGCCATGATACACTTTTCGACATCAGTATCACTTGCTCGGATCTCCAGTTTCGTATCCGCCTCGAACAATGACCGCATCGTATCAAGGTTTCTCGAAGTCACAAGGAGACGAATCTGGCTACCTAATGCCCTCAGGGCATCAATGAGCCCTTTCCGGCGTCCGTCGTCGTCGAGTTCATCCAAAGCATCCAAGACTATGTAGACGCAGTCGTATGACTTCAACTCCTCAAAAAGAAGGCTTATGCAGTCTTTAAGTGAAGGCTGCGTCTCATCATAACAGTACCAATCGTAGAGGAATTCAATTGAGGCGGTCAGGCTAAGGCGGGCTTGCCAGTAGACGAGCTGCTTCAAGAGACTACGCATGAGGTTGGTTACTGTCTGGTCCACCGCGCTGTTATAGTCGCAAAAGATACACAAGACAAGTGTATCTTCCTTATTGAACTTCGCGCATAAACGCTCGACGGTATTGGAGGCAAGGATTGTCTTACCGACACCGGCTACAGAATATATAAGCATCAATGACAAAACTCAAGGTCCTAGTACAGTACTCACGACCGCCAACACACCACAAAGTGAAGGGCGCTACGGCAACATCTACCCAACTTAGAAACTCTGGGGACTCAAAAAACCACTCTTCCATGTGGCTCGCGCACTGCCAGTGTTTCAGTTTGTTGTGTCGAACAGTGTTGTAATCCAAAGCGCTCAGCCACATCACCGCATTTACGATTTTGCCACCTGCAAGGTTCATGCACATCAGCATTCAATACGAAGATAAACCTTGACCATGAGCGCACCCGGCAATTGGAACAGCCTGTTCTTGTCTTTGGTTGTCAAGGATTCCCAAACCTTAACTTCGATATCACCTAGCATCTTCTGAATCGCAAGAGATAATTTACTGTACACCAAACTTAGCCTTGTACGAGCGAGCGAAAGGAGATCCCTTACAGATGATCATGCTGTCCGGCAACCATGATCAAGGACTTGAGACGCTCGATCTTCCCCAAATCCTCTTCCACGCTCTTTTTAGTGATTGTCCAATCCAGCCTCCGCATAAGCCGTTTCAGCCGAGATGATCCATCCTTCAGTCTCGCCTTGAGTTCATCAAGTAACTCCATAAGCTCCTTGAAATGATCCTGCAATTGCTGTAATGTCTCCAGCCATGGGTCGCCTTTGGTCGACGACCGAATCTGCTGTCCTATGCTGGACAGACCAACCTCGAGATACCGTAGCTCCGTCAAGAGCTCGTCACATTCTTTAGGTGCATTCTTTACGTCCTTTAGATAGTTGATTACAACAATAGTGTTTTGAATGAGGGCGGTAACGGACGAAGCGATTCCAAGGGCCTCTGCCATGTCTGGTGGTAAAGAACAAGGTCGTGTGTAGGAAAGCTCGGTACTTCGCCTCGTGGTCGAAATCGAAGCCAGCAACCGGTCATTGATGTGTTGATGTAATCCTCTGTGGTGATGAGAAACAGATCATCTATGTTACGTTCTTCAGAATTGTTGATTCACATACGTCTTTCAGAACTATAATTTAAGGTGGCAAAAGAAGAAAACGGTACAATGTCGATGCATTGCGTCCAGAGAGCAAACACTGAACCGTTGATCACACTAGTCTCACCCTTGCAGATGCGCCTGCACCTCCCGCATGTATAGACACGAAGACCCTCACAGAGTCTGGTCTACCGCCTATGTCAGGTGCAGCAAGTCTGGTGGGCATCAAATATGATATTATCGATGTACGAGCCTCTTGCAATGGGTTCATCGATGATACAATATGAGCGCAACCCAACAGAGGCACCGAAGCTGATGGTACCTAGCATGAGGTAGATCTGGTGAAGAGCGAGCAGGCAACTACGAGGTGAGGGAGCAAACCAACCATCCCCGTTAGTCCCCATTGCAGCGTATAGATATCTCGTTATCATATACCTTCCGTATTGAAAAGGCCGTTTACGCTGGATCCGACTTCATCATGGGGCATGAAGGTTTGTATTGGAAGGCTGGAGTCCGAATATGAACTATGAAGCCCTTTTGTTGTATCCTGTAGCAGGAATGTCGGACGTAGAGGTCAGGGCATCGAAGCAAAAGATGGAAGTGGAGCTGTATGGTGAGGAGAAAACAGCCGGACTGGCTGGTGCAGGATCGGAGCCCTGCTCAGACGAGGCAAATCATGTCTCGTTTCATCGTGTGAGTCGATGCATTGGAGGATGGCAGTTTCCAGAGTAGGGAAGTTGTGATAGCGCGCTCATCTGATAAGTTAGATTGTAGTGCAAGGTGTGTAGTAGGTGCAGAGTACATCGATGCCCTGCATGTATGCGCCATAGGATGCAGCTTTGAAGCGGTTAACGACCAGAACAGGTTGTCGAGATATTCCTGCTTTGGGGAGGGTAGCCATCATCGCTTAGAAACTAATCCAGAGGGGGAGTTCGCGTTCTCGGTGTTCGAAGACCGGCGAGTAGTCAGAGAAGAGACAGTAGACTTGGTTGCGAAGCAATGGTGCTGACGGCTCCACAGACATTGTTAACGAACAAACTCTCCTTGGATTCGTTGCTTCGTCACTGGAAGACCCGTTCTTGCCGTACTTGATGGTCTTCCTCTCGACGAAATTATTATTACGAACTGCAAATGAAAGTTGTGTCAATATGATTTTGATGAGACGATGACACGGCATACACACTCTGGACGGAAATTTCCCTCAAGGGCTCCCGTTCCTCTCTAAGTCTTCTCGTGCCCGCCCATGGCTGCTCGTCCGCCTGCACGATGCTACTCCTTCCTCCCAACCCATCTCCACATCTCCCTCTGCCCCAAACTATCTTGTTGATGTATTGTTCGAGTCCCGCTCAAGAGAAGCTGCTACCATTAGAGCGAGGGAAGGTCTTTAGAGCACGCGTGTCATCGGGTGAGGAAAGCCTTTGCTAGGTGAACTGGCCAGGAGGATTAGTTGTTGAGAGAGGCTTCGTGTGCGCGTGCTCGGGTCGATGCAGAGTCCTCGATGACGGGGAGAAGAGAGTTCGGTCCTGCTTGTTCCCAATCACGTCCATCTAGAGCATCCAGTAGCGGCAGTTGCCGGGTCCCCGATTCTTTCCCTTGGGCGAAGAAACGGCATGTACATGTATATCCGCTTGTTCAAGCTGCTCAATAGAGTGGTAGTGCAAAAAGCTCGCTCGGTGGCTGCGCCGCCAGCTCGCATTTTGCACACTCTAAATCTAATCACCTGAGTGCGCTCCGTTCGACGACCTATACTAAGATTGCAAAGAACGATAAAATTTCCGGCATTAAAATCGAACTCATTGATGAATTGTCATTTCACACACTAGAGGCCCCGAGGAAGGTGAACGTAACTCAGTCTGCCATCTAGTATGCAAGAGATCACAAGTTGGTGGGCATCTGAACAGCATCTTATAATTACATGCCCTATGCACCTGGCACCATCACAAGAAAGAAAATATTCAAATCTCTAATACTGCGCACCTCATGCCATCACAAGGTCGATTAGTCCACAATGAACACATCACAACATTCATCAAACTGTTACATGGCAGTAAAAATCTGACCATGAAAGGGTATGTACTTCCCAAAAACCAGACACAACAATCAGCACACATCACTTGCAAGTTGCAGTTGCTGTAGCAAAATGTTCTGATCTGCAGGTTCACATCAACACTGAATTCTCTCACTATATCAAATCTACATGATGTAACAGGAAACTCCATTGAAGATAAGCGGATGCATAATACCACAACGTGTTACCAGAGTGATAGCACTGAGGCAGATTTTTGCAAGATTTTTATTAACCCGCTGGCAGCTGAGTGGGGCTGTAGAACAGACAGTAGTTGAGAGCATCTGCAGTCACAGAGCAGAAAAAGGACAGTGAAGGTAGGAATCACTTGCGACATGCAAGCAAAAAAGGTGATAGTAGGTGAGAGGAAATGAAGAGGAAATTGATGTCGACAGTTTTCCGACCAGCCCGCAAACCAATAGGAAGTGTTCAGAAAGAAAGACTTCTCAGCCACAGCGGCAACCGCTCGGCAAATAAGCCGTTGCGTGCCGGATGATCGCCTATCACCAAAAATTACTAAGCCGACCCCGAGTATAGCCCCTGTCCAGACACTCTATCGTTTCCTCATTCTTCGGAAAGAATCGGGAATTCCTTTCCCGTTTCCTTCGCACTATTGAATTGCTTAGCAATGCTACCTTCGCTATACACAAACTGGATCTAGCAAGTCCTACTGGATTAGTCACAAGGCACTGTTTCTCTCGTCAGGTTCAATGGAGGAGATAAGCCATGCGAGAAAGACATACGCGGTGAAGGCTTCACATTCAACACATCCAGATATCGCCGATTGCACAGACATATCAATGTTCTCGGCTGTTTCTAGCGCACTTGTTCTCATTTTGTCCACATATTCATACATCGCCTTTGTTCCATCATCTATTCTCTCCTGAACCTCTCCTAAGATATGCTTGACCTTCTCCATCTGCTGCTTCAGGACCCCATATCAAGCCGAGCCATTTCCTCCTCGCATGGTGGGGTCGAAAAGACTGAAAAAAATGCATCTCTCCAGCTCGCATACGAATTCTTCCGTCGGACCGCGGAGCGGCTGTAATAAATGCCGGAAAACGGCTCGACCTGTAGCCTAGTGCATGACGAATGAACCTTATCTTTCTTTCACAATCGTTTCTTACATCTTTGTCTACTGAATTCAACAAGTTCATGTGTTTTGAGGCCAAGATCGCCTTGATCATTATGCGTTGCTTCCATGAGGGGTGTATGAAACCTACCCAATGCACAAACAAGTGCAACGCGGGTCCATTCTTTCCGAACCACCATGGCCATGAAACCTACTACATCGTCTGCTACGACCACTGACTCGGAAGACTGGATTGACTGGGTGTATCGCTCCTACCCCGGCCGCACCCACCAGGAAATCATTGATTTCTATGTATCCCAATACGGTTCTGTCGAGGCAGCCCAACTTGCCATTGAAGAATTCCGCGCCAGTGTTCCAAAAACGGAGAAGCAAATCGGTGTAAGTACGCTCTTTTTATGATGTCTTTTGCTCTGACCAATCTCGGGCCTCCATTTAGCGCTATCCTACTCCTAACGAGGTCATGTATGTCGTTGATATCAATGACAAAATAAAAATTGGCATATGGCGCGGAGATCTGGCAGACATGCATCAATACCAGTTCGCTTTTATCAACCCCGACTCTGGTCGACCAGTTCCGACACCTCGTGGCGTCCATGTTTATGGAGTACCACGTCCAGATGGAGGTGGGACAGCAGACGAATTGTTCTCGATTGAAAGGGCCTCTGGCCTGAAGGCTAAAATCCTGAGCGAAGTCTTCGTAGTACCTGAGGGTACAGTATGTCGTGTTGAGGGACTGGAGAAAACCGTTCACTTTGCCCTTCCTATACATGACGACTTTGTCCTTGCCCCGTTGAGGATCTTCAATAAGGTAATTGATGCCCTCTTCTACTGACTGACTTGGATGTCTGCTGACAACTTCCTCAGAATCGTTGACCCCAATAGTCATTGTGTAGTAAAATACAGCTGGACCCCTTTCTTGAGATGTCGGCTGGATTGTCATCATCAAATCTTTGACTACGTGTAAGCAACTCCGAGGAACGTACCAAGCGAGAGAATTATGAGCGTTTCGGATCATGGAAGAATTCGATATCGCGAGTCCCCTAGCATCTAAATGAGTGACGAGAGGTACATGCGCATAGACTCGGACTCACCTTGTGAGACATTTCCCTGGTGTATTTTTTGAACTCGCCCGGCTCCCTTCCAATATCGCCTTTTGAGCAGTTGAATAGAATATTCAGAATGACTTGGAATGCGCAGGCATCATCGCTGAGCTGGTTCACGAGCTATACATGGGTCCTTAAAATCGGTAGGTCGATGTGTGTCCTTTCGCCAGCGAAAGCAGAACACCAAGCCGTACGGATGGAGGTAGTCGATGGCTCAAAGTTCTATATCGTAGACTTTGACGATCTCGAGGTGCTTGACTCCTAGTTTACTAAGGATGTGAAAACGCCTGCGTAAGGATGCAGCTTCGACGAGTCGCTAGTAAAGGAACAAGAATCAGCTTTCAGTCGATATGAACGAGGTATAGATACGTACTGGTAGTTGACTGAGATTTTGCGCTTATCACAATGTGATTGATATCCCTTTGCTGCATTAGGTTGAATGGTTGTATGCTGAATATCAGCGATGGATAGGATCCTGAAGCAAATGAAGTATCCAGCAGCTGTTGCCTAGTGCCAGACGGATATCCTGAGAGTGGACAAAACTTGGCGAGCTGCTGTATATCTCATTCGAGGAAATGAAATAGCCCTTGTACGAGTCGTGTCTATGGGGTTGGAAAACTACGTCTCGTATTTAGAAAAACTGGGCTGCGAGAATGATGAACAGAGTGATGTTTGATAGTGAGGTTGTCTTCGAAAGTTTCGGTGGTGTGGATCAAGGGAACGAAGGAGGCAAGGGATGAAGAAGAGACATGCAAAGATGTCTCGCGTAGTACTGATGACGGGAACGGATCCCCACCAACAGACGAGGACGCGTCAAAAAATACTGCCAGCCAACGGCCTCTCCTTGGAGTCGTTGGAGTGTTCCGGAAACGTTGAGCTTCTCGACAGCCCTTTCTTAGATGAAGATGAGCAGGCTACCTGGGGCACTAGTCATGCCAATAATATTTCAGCGAGATGCGAATAGTGAACATACCCAAGACTCATACAACTAAGAACGTTCTCCAGCTGAACCTTGCACAGAACATCGGGAACTCTTAGCATGGTCAGCTCTCTTCACTGACCTCCCCTCCTGTCCCTCTCTTCGCCCATAAAAAGCTAAATGCCGCGCCGACCTCCCTTCCAGGCCATTTTCTGCTCAAAATTAACATGTTGACGTGTCGTCTATGTAAACCAAGTTCCAGAGTCGTTGAAGTTGAGAGGCCGCCATTGTTAGGGATGCAGAGTTGAGAATAGACTTGGCTACAAGGGAATGGTGCTGAGATTTCCAATGAACAGGCTCTCCTTGGAGTTGGTGTTCGTGTTGCCGAAGGAGCCGTTCTGGTCGTACGTCTTGACAGTCTTCCTCTCGGCGAATGACTATCACGATCTGTACATGAAAGTCGCGTAAGTGCAGGCCCAACGAGATGACGACGGCGGACATACGCAACACACGGGATAATGGGGGTTTTCGGAGAAAGGTCCCTTCCATCCGTCAGCCAGACACAATGTCGACTGTCCCTCCCTTCCTCCCAGCCCATCTCCGTCGCATTGACATGTCTTCCGGGTACCGTTCAAGCTGGGAAGCCGCTATTCCAGGAGGCACAAAGTGAGAAATTTCCGCACCCGGTAATTGTTGACGAAGGAAATGGCTTCTGTAAGCGCGCGCGTCTTAGCATCTGAGAAATTTTCTCTAGTCTAAGCAAACATGCCAGAATGTTAACGATTTTGAGGGGCTTCACGGGCGCGCCTGCCGAGTCGAAGCAGAGTCCTCGGTGATGGGAGACGAAAAGGGAGTTTGAACTTACTCGCCGGGTTCGGTCCGGCTCATTTCTCAGATCTCAGCCACGGTCCACTATGTCCACCCCGGCGTTTCCTAAATCACCTAGTAATGATACCTTCGATATACCCAAACCGGTTCCAGCAAGTCCGACTGGATTGGCTAACATTCTCTTGACGGATTCTAGATGTTTTGCCATCCTGTTTTTATTCTTTGCGCTTTCCGTTCACACTGCACATCTCTTCTCTATTATTGGCTTCTCTGACGAACGAGCTGTGCGCGCTGTGTTTGGCGCTGTCTTCAACGAGTGGGCCAAGGTTCTCATGAATGGACGGTACTCTGAGGTGAGTTTTTGGGCCGTGTGTTACGGTAGTTGCTAATCAGCTCGAAACCATTGGCGTCGTATGGTTCTGTGCACTATGTCAGGCAGTGCGAAGAAGAGGTCCTCCTGCTCGATAACATAGGAGGATGCAAACCTGACCAGTGACCGCCACCATCTTTTTCTTCCTTGTTTTGTTCAGAGCCGCCTCATCCTAATGTCCTGATTCTGAGCTTCCACACTTCAGGAAACGGTGAAAAGTCTTACTCCGGACGTTATGGGGCTATCTATGTCATCGTACGACTTGTTTCGCGATTCTTCGTCGCGTAACTGCAACTAATTTTTTTCTCAGCCGCCAACTGCCGGACAAGCTCTCCTCATCCATCGATTTATTGACCGACGACCAAGTCAAAGTGCTTATCGATGTAGCAGTAAGCCGCAACGATGTGGTCGGGATCAGACACAACCCAGGTATCAGCTGGATGCCTGCCACGGCACGGAGAATCGCCCCAGACGCTGTCGCGAAAAAATGCGATCCTCACGGTCGATGTCCATCCGCATTCCAAAGGTCCGGCGCACTCTTCCTATGCACGAGAAAGAATCATTGTCAGGCTGTTATTCGATGTGGCTCGTGATGGACTTCATCGACGGCGATGTAATGGAGACGACATGGCCACAGATGAGCTGGTGGAATCGCTTATGGACTGTATGGAAGCTGCGGAAATTCATCCGGGAACTGCACCATGTTCCCGTTCCCCGACCCAACGTCCCAGGCCCATTCGATTCCACTGATAAGGCTTTGGCATGCAGCGGATATAATTTCTCCGAAACCGGGGCGGGACCTTTCGAGTCGTACAGTGCCATGGCGGACTGGTTCGACCACCTCCGCTACTCCCTCCTCGTAGACCTGCATATGAACTACGGGAGTTTCAAACCACATCTGTATCCCATGTTCGACGCTTCCCATCCTCCAGTTCTATGCCATATGGATCTTAATATGCGTAATATTATCGTGGACAAGAGGGGCGACGTTTGGTTAGTCGACTGGGGCATGGCCGGCGCGTTCCCTCCATAGTTTGAGTACGCGAACATGGTTTTATTTGCAAGGGCAGTCATAAAAGAATGCCGTTTACCAAAATCATGGCTGTTTTTCGTGCTTTTTGTTGCTGGTAATTATCAGTGGTACGAGGCGGAGTATCTTCATCGTCTGGAATATGCGTTTGGAAGATCGTGGCTTGATCATCCGAAAGGATATTTTGAGCGGTTGGGGTCGGATATCACGCTTCGACGGGCTTGTTGAGATAGCTGTTCAACAGGCCGCACAGTTTCAGTCAAAGCTGTCATTGAACGGAATCATGCCTTCAGAGGTACCACGATCGCTTGCTCTGCCATCATCACTGATAACCGTACTTTTCTTTCTCTCTTCCTATTATCAAGAACTATCGTTTGCAGGATACGTTCCGAGAGCAGATACATCTAATTGAGCCTGTGTGTAAAGTACCCCCCCGCTGTCGAAGAAAAAGATAGTGTTCACTACACGGATGGCGGAGAAGACGTGCATGGAATATATGAAGTCTACCACGACAGTCTGGAAAGCTTCAGCATGATGCACTGTTTCTCACGGAACCAGAGATAGCGTCTTCCTTCCCTCTTCGGGACTACTGTTCTGCGATACATCCCAGCTCTTGTTGATAGAGATCATCTTTCATTGTCGAACACCTACGACTCCTTTCGACGTTGCCAGAGAAGTCGGTACAGCACGCTGCTCACTCTGGATAACTCGCTCCCAAGTGCGGCGTTGTGTTGACCAAGTCATCGGGCTCGAGCTTGAAAAATGTCGATTCTATCCAAGACTCCATATCCAAGCTAGAGAGATGGTCCTCTTCCAGTCTTTTCGACGGCATTTGTCCCGCCATGTGAAAGGGCTCCGATTCGTGAGCGTACTGATTGTCGCGGCCAGACCTGAAGCAGCAGATTCGGAGGGTCGAGCATGCCCTTTGAGAGGTTCGGCGCAGGATAGATGATGGAATGGAGGGGATGTATGAGCCTTTGGGCGGAGCTGTGAGAAAAGCATGCGGAGGCGTGAGAAGGAGTACGAGACGCAAACCAGTCCTCTGTGGAGGTTAGAGAGCGATATCTGGATGCGAGTTCGAAGCCTTCACTGCTTTCATATCTCAAGATCTCATGGCTCATCTCCCCGCCACCACGTTTACCTCATCCTTTTGATCGCCCCATCCTTTTGCCTTCATTTTCTACGGCATCGGCTTCCTTCGTACCATCCGAGCGCCTGCTAATGACACTTGAAAACAGCAAGGCTCAATTTACGCATTGTTTCTTTCATGAAGGTCCTACGGCCGAAGTCGAACTGTACCATGTAAAAGGATCGTTTGCTATCTCGTATCTATTTATCGCATATCTGACTTGTGCTATTCTCTTCCCTGTGCTTATTTACACGAATCTGCTCTTGAATTTCAGGAACGATACTCTGCAATGTGGAGATTTGAACGACTCATGTTCGATATCCTTGACGCTATAGATTAGTGAAGATCGGAGAAAAGAGATAATCGGCAAACCTGGATCCGAGATACACTACAGACCATTCATCGCCATCTCCCCGCTCGAGAAACATCTTCACAACATCGTCTCGGCCCATCCTTTTGGCAAGCATAAGCGGAGTCTCATCTAGGATCCGGATAGAGGTGTCGATGCCAGGCTGACGAAGCAAGAGCTTAACCACTCCGACGTGGTTACCAAGAACGGCTGCTGATAGCGCCGTGGGTCCATCGGGAGGCAAGAAGTTCAATGACGCCATGCGTCGGGACTTGAGAAGCATCTTGACAGTTCGTTCGTGTCCATTCGAAGCCGCCGCAACAAGGGGTGTGCAAAACGTGGGATGAGCATCCTTGACTTCAATACCATTTTGATAGTGGCGAAGACATGTGACTTTGTTCGCCTGGTTCATGTCCACGTCATCTCGCGACAGTAATAGTTTCACTACGCTGATCTGCCCTGCGTGTGCGGCGACACACAAGGTGTTTTCGTGCTGCGGATCAACCCCTCGATCCAATAGGATCTGCATGACATGGACCAAGCCATGATGAGCAGCAAACCAAGCAAGAGTGCGTGGTATTTCAGGTTCCGAGTCTGGTGGTTGTTCGAATGACAGAGCGATTTGTGTACGAGTCTCTAGGAAGGTGAGGATCTCTTCTTCCACGGATCCCCGAGCGCATTTCCTAGCATGAACCGCCCAGTGATTTGACGCGTACTTGAGGAAGGGATACTTTGCGGAGATATCAGAGAGGAGGACGTTTGGAGAGCGAAATACGTCGAATGACATGTAGGTTAGACACAGGCGTGTGATATGTTCGTGGATGCCTGCAAATTTTCCGGCTTGCTGAGAGAGAATGTACTCGCGGAAGGTAGGGTCTAGCAAATCATTCAGGAAAGAGAGAAACTGAGATGAGGACTAACTCACGTGCGAACCTGACATACTCTTCGCCATCAACGACGACAAGCCCGACACAAGCACTTGAGATAAGGTCGAAATCGAGGATTTTATGGCGGTTAAGCTTCTTCGTTCCTACTTGCACGGCCAATGCATACTGTAGTTCCGGGATCGTTAGGGGCCGCTGGGAAAAGGCGACCAAGCCGAATATTTTATAGGCGAGGGTCTTCTCGGTCTCGGTCTGATGTTCGGCCCTTTCCAACAAATGCGCATACGTGCTTGCGATGGCTTCTGGAAGCTTCTGGAGCTTCTCAATGAGGTCGCCACGATCCTCGCTATGGGCGAATAAACTCAGATGCGCGTCTGCTAGGAGAAACCTACAGAAACACAACGGTGTTAGTGACTGAAAGGAAATCAATAGGATATAAATCCTACATGCCCTGGGCCTTCTCCACGACCATAGCGAGTATGTTCTGGCGCAGGGCGTCGCAGTCCCTAACGAAAATACGGAGACGGTCATTATCACGAAGCCTACTCATCACCAATTTCCGGATGTCGCCGTCGTCTGCTCGAATAGGCAACTCTTCATCTTCCTGAAACAGCCGTTGGATGGCTGGTTTGTTTCTCGAAGTGACGAGGAGACGGACTCTGTTCCCGAATGACTTCAAAGCGGAAACTAACTCTTTCTGATTGTCAACGAATTCATCGAAGGCGTCAAAGATGATATACACGTAAGGATAGCCTTCCAGATGGAGAGAAAGAACCTCCATGAGTTCACCGAGGGAAGGATCCATTGCACCTTTGAGGCTCCTGGTGTGCATGGATTCAAGAGTGGAAGAGAGCTCGTTCTGTGTGTATATCAACTGCTTTAGCAGGGAACGAATTATATCGGGCACGGTCTTGGCGTCCGAGGTTTGGTAGTCCCTGAAGACACGAAGGACGGGGATGTATTCTTTGGAAAACTCGGTCCGTTCGCACAAATGAGCGACAACAACGGAGGCGAGGACTGTCTTTCCGGTGCCGGCTACGAAATTCATGAGTTTGTGCAAATACGCTTAGGGGAGTCTGGCCTGAGACTCACGATCGCCAGGACACCACAAAGTGGAGGACTTTGCGGTACCATCAAGCCAACTCGTAAACTGGAGTGCCTCGAGGAACCATTGTCCGGTACCCGCAACATGTTGTTTCAGCTTGCCGCGTTGAATGGAACTGTAGTCCAGAGGACTGAGCCAAGCGGCTACCTCGGCTTTTTTGTCTGTGATGTATGTATGCATCAGTATACAATCCAAACTGGAGTTTTCAAGAATGAACATACCCCTCTGTCTACTCATAGCAACATCTCGAATAGCGTCTACTTTGCCCTCAAGGTCGCATAGCTTTTGCTGAACATTGAGAGAGAATGCGCTGTATACCAAATTTAGCCTCTGAGGTGTCAAGCATAGTAAGAATCACTTACAGGGCCTCGTGCTGGCCAACGACATCCATGACCAACGACCCGATATCCTCAACCTTCCTCAAATCCTCTTGCGCTCTCTCTTCAGCAAATGACCACTGGAGCCTCGGCGCCACCCTTTTCCACCACAGCGAGGTAACCTTCAGATCCTTCTCGATTCCAGCAAGTAATCCACTAAGCTCTTTGAAAGGGTCGTTCAATTGCTGTAATATCATCAGCCACGGGTCGCCTGCGGTCGATAGCGACGTGATTATTTTCACGGTAGACAGGTGGATCTCCATATGCCGTAGCTCCCTCATGAGCTCGTTGCGTTCTTTAGGCGCGTCTTGTACATCCTTGAGATACTTGATGACTGTGCGAGACTTTTGGATAAGGGCAGTAATGGATGCGATTTCTACCATGGTGTTGCCGTTTGAGTCTCAAGTCGCAAAGAGTCTTAGACGTTCCGCCCTTTAGCACGGCCACCCTACGGATCCCCCAGAACGAGTAATTGTGCATCCGGCCATGTACATCACGGTGTCGCCCTATGGTATCCATCAATTCCGCATGAAAAATGTTCCTCCTTGGAACCTCTGGAAGGTGAGGCGACGCATCCGGGAGGAACCCTTGCTTCTTGGCGACATTATCGATAAAGATGGGCAACAACTATTGAAAAGTCATTTCAAAGGCTATAGATAAAATGAACCTCAATACGAATTCAGTGCGAGGAGCATAGCGGAACGTACCTGCAATGCCCTTCTCAGCCTACACTAAGCACGCACGGCACCGAATCCTGTCTACCTTCCAAATCATCTCTCCTGTATTTTTCCAAGGCGCGTCAGCATGCAGAAGAGGGTTGGGTGAGGGAGAGAGAACGAATGTGGTCGACAAGTTTCAAACTTTGTCGTGACCGGCCTATGCGGCTTTGGACTCACGTGGCGGCTGTGCTGAAGGACCGCGGCGGACCGGTCCTTCTCCCGAAATCGTTGATTCCTACTTGCCCACAAGCCGCGTCTACTTAGTGTTCAGCCATCTGAAGGGACCGAGAACAAAGTACTCGTCTATCGTGAGAGGGGATCGAAACTCTCCTTCCATCTCTCTACTATCTACTATCATCGAAGACTCGAATTGCGCACACACGGCCTTTCTCTCAATCTCCTACATTCACCATATATCTGTCTTGCGAAAGCTTCGCTCGACTGACGACATGCAGAAATTCTTCCATCTGTAATCTCGACTCTGGCGATTTGAACGATGCTCGGATCCTGGTTCGTGAGGCCGAAAGGACACCATGTTCATTTTGGGTGGAGGTAGGATTCAAGGTGGAGAGCGGGAGGGGAGGGACGTGTCTGTGACTGTGGGATGACAAGGGACGAGTGAAAGAGGTTGACAGTCCAGAGGCCCTCTGAGGGCAGTCATCGTCCTGAGGGGTGTGATTTCGCTGAATGGCGCCGCTAGCTCTAATGCTACTGGCTTGGCGGTCTAAAACCTCCATATTCGCTTATTTCAGCCTGGCGGCTCACACTGCAATGCAATGCAAGATACCCCTCGGAGCCTAGCCTGGGCTGCACAGAAGATTCAGAGTCACCGAACCCATTGCACCACCATCACACCAGAATTCGGATCCTTCCAACCAGCACTCAAAAGCTCTGTATTTGTACATCCCGATAGTGGCGACGATTCGACTGGAACGACTCTTTGAATCTGGGTTCACGCGGATGACGCGTCACCGTGACAGCTTTAGAGGAGGAAACTGGGAGCAACAGAATTCGGCATCATTCTACGACTTCTTCTACGTGAGTATGTCCACGATATGAGTCCCGTGGAACTTGTACTAACATCACTTTTATATGCAGTTCATAATAGTTAAAGAAGATTATCAAAAGCACGAGTCCTTCACACACGTCGCAAGTGGTGAGCCCTCAGCGGCCCACAAGACATTCCTCCGCGTTCGCGTCAGCTACTCTGCTCTTCGCGCTTCTCTTCCTCCATTCCCTCAGTATAATCCTCCATCAACTACTGCAATGAAAATTTTGCTGACATGAAAACGTTCAGCTCTATGTGAAAGTCGATGTACTGAAGAACGACGATTACATCAACTAGTATGGAGTTAACCCGACAGGGAATGCAACCATCACTTATCCAAATACTATAACACGGCTCCATGTTAGTTTGATCGATTACCTCCCAATTACTTACTGAACTTTTGCCGAATAGATCTCTTGACCTCATAAAAGTCATCCGGACCATGGATACTCTGCGGAGGGTGGGGTGATTAAGACGTGGGTGCATGTGAATAGGAAGGAGACGCGAGGGTAGGCTCCCTTACAACCCATTCCCAGACCATGATCATCGAGCCGTACATTTCTTTATCGTTACATGAGTTCAGAAAAGACTGAATTATTTACGTGCAGATTTTGTATGGCGCATAGACCTTTATTGGGTACAACCAGAAAGCCGTGTCCCGATACCCAACATCTCGCTTCACGATTTCGAGAACTTGTGATCTCTGTTTCGTTATCAAGTAAGCTGGTCAGTCGCCGTAACTCCTGCCGTGGATTCGCTAAGTGTGAAAATACTCAGTTCTATGTGCCGCATGGAAGCTGCACTGAAGAACAATGATACAACGTCGAGAGATCGGCTCGCACAGAATGGACACGATAGGAAGTCTCTACCATAATTCATCTCCGTGTTAGTTCGATCTTTTACCTTCTAATCGCTTATTGACCTCTCGCCAGATTGGCCCCCTGACCTCACGGTAGTCATCGCCCCTTCCTTTTCAAACAACTTGCAGTGTCCGTCGGGATGTCAAGCATGCTCGGAATTTCAATCGGGGAGCTGGGGTCTGCACTACATCCCAGGCACTTTCTCAAAATGATGCCCATGATGCACCTTCCGATACCCGTATTTCGCAGACCGCATCACCTCTGTTTCAACGTAACGATGATGAAAGCCAAGTACCATGATCATATCACAGCGTTACATTCGGCATGATCGCTCCAAATCAATAACCAAACCACGACATGTTTTCTCGGAACTTTTTTGATCTCGACCGGATGATCTCCAGTTCCTCGGATACCCATAGAACTCCTGCAATGGAATTACTGCCGCTAGTCTCGTCCCGTCGAGTATTTCTCTAGAAATAGCACGGCTAGATGAAGATGTCGCCGGGTATACGTTAGGATGGGTTCGCGATCTCGACTGGTATGTTAAAATAGGTTCGTGTTCCCACAAACATTTTGTCTAGTTTGTCTAGTCTTGACTTAAGCACCTGCCGTTCTAGTATGTGGCATCGATAAAGCCTCGAATCTTATGTTATATTCGGATCCTGGCCTAATATCCAGTCAAAGTTAGTACAGAACACGGATGATGATGGGAAATGCCGTCAACACGTATCTATATGCTGCGATTATCGCACAACGCCATTGATCCGGTTCCTGTAAGGCTGTGGCTTCGATTTCAACCACAAGGCCATAGCGCCTTGCGACCTGTCTGCTTACAACCTTGCTCTTCACCACCAACCATGTCAGAGGTCATAGGAGCCGCTTCGTCCGTTACCGCCGTCATCAATAACATCATTACTCTCATCAGCTATGTTAAGGACGTATCCAACGCACCTGAAGAAATGATCCAGATCTCGAAGGAGCTAGAGTATCTGAGGATCTATCTGACCGCCATAAAAGAGCTCATGTCGCTGTCGCCCGAAAATGACCCGTGGCTAGAGACATTGAAGCGGTTGTTCCCACCTCCGGACGATGCTCGAGACGATGTCCCGGGCGGTCTTTTCAAAGAGCTTACGGAGTTATTCAAGGAACTCGATAAAAAGCTGGTCATTGATCCGCCTCAGTGGAAGAAAGTGAAAAAGAGGCTGCTTTGGACGCTTACCAAAACGAGCGTGGAAGAGGATCTGCAGAAGATCGAACGTTTCAAGACCTTGGTCATGAGCGCTGTGCAGCTCGACGACGTGTAAGTGACTCCTTCGTTCAACTCTCGGAGGCTAAGTTTGGTATACAGCAAGTTATCTCATGCAATTAAAGACATGGTCGCAGACCTCAAGGGCACGTTCGATGGTTTCATACGAAAGACGGAGCAGTTACAGATGAGTGCGTGTATCGTCAAGATTCATTGTTGTGCTGAACATTGATGCATGTGTACCTCGCAGGAACAGAGGATGCGGAAATGGAAAAATGGCTTACTGCAGGCTATGTGGATTACAAGTCTATTCAAGAGCAAACACTAAAAAAGTGCACTGAAGGCACCGGACAGCGGTTTCTTACTTCCCCAGTCTTTCTGAACTGGAAAGATGGTCCTTCGGCGACTTGCCTGTGGTGTCCTGGCCAACGTGAGTTCTACGTTCTTGTTCAGCTCTGTTGGAGGCTTGAAGCTGACGTATCCTATAGCTGGTGCCGGAAAGTCGGTTCTAGCCTCCATCATTGTTGAAGATTTAGAAACACTGGTCAGTCCGAGAAAGGCACTTGTTCTGTGCATTTTTTGTGACTATGAAGAGCCAGCTACGACCCAAACCATCGTCTGCAGTCTCTTGAAACAAACAATCCAATCTCAGGGGCTTTCTTCCCACTCCAAATCTGTCTACATCGAAGAGTGTGTCAATAATGGTAGAAGACAGCCGTCGGACCTCACACTTTCAGACACACTTTCAAAACAGCTGAGATCGTATAAGGGTCATGTCTACATTGTCCTGGATGCGTTGGATGAGTTCAATGACGATGATGGAGGGCAAGGACAGCTGATCGATACATTGAGGTCGTTAGGGGATAATGTCCGTGTTAGCGACCGATTTCACAAACAAGATCAAACAACTCAGCGTGACTCGCACTTCGGTCAGGCGCTGTATGTTGTCCGCAGGTTTGCGTTAAGGAGGCTATCGCTTAGTTGAGCAAGAGGGAGTTCAGACTAAGTTATCGGGTGAATAAACTTTAGTTCGAGACTGAGGTTTAAGACCTGCAGTCGGGCTACTTAAATACAGTTTGGGTCGTGCTAAATATACTACAAGTGTCTGCAACGGTGCGTTAAACACACAAGACCCACATGGTGAATGCGATCAGGTCCGGAGAACTAGCATAGCAGGATTACGATGGAGACGATAAGATAAGATAAAGCGTGAGATCGTAATATTACCCCCCTGTTAAGGCAGTCGTCCCGACTGCGACATAACTTGGTTTCGGAAGATAGGCTCCTATAAGAGAGGGCGCATTTGGTTTTATCAGGTATTCTTGAATTGCCTGTACCAAGGGGTGGTCCGTTTCCGACTCGGTTACTGATTCATGTTCGGACCAAGAGTCGGATTCGTCTTTGTTTTCCCACCACTCCGCTGGAGGTCGAGTGATAAATGAGACTTGTTCGAAGTCCTCGATAGCGTCTCTTGCGTTATCTAGGTCTTGTTCATCTACCCAGGAATTTTCCTCCCTTGGGTATCCCTTCCATTTGACGAGGTATTCGATTCCGGTGCCGCGCCTTCTTCCCCTTCCTCTTGCCCTTTCTCTTCTGTCCACAATTTCTTCCACTTCATATTGTTCCTGTCCGTCTATGAGGTCCGGTGGTGGCGGCAAAGGCTGTACTTGGATTGGGAACTCCGGCGGATGGTATGGGGTGAGGAGTTTCTCATTGAAACGATCGTGGATTTTCCAAGCTGGGGGGAGGCGTAATTTATATGCTGAAGCGCCATGTTTGGATAGCACTTTGAACGGCCCAACTCGTTTGTCGCCCAGCTTCTTCATTGGTCGCGGAAGGCTGAGGTTTGTGGAGTCCAGCCATACCTTGTCCCCTGGTTGATATTCCACCGCCGGTAATTGGTGCTTGTCGTATTGTCGTTTCATGATTTCCGCTGCCTTCTCTAATGCTTTAGCCGTTTGTTCATGGATCTTTTGGATTTCAGCCACAAATTCTCTAGCGGCTGGGTTGGTACCTTCTTTGATCGTCAGCGGGGCTAGGTGTGGTTTTTGTCCATGGTTGATTTCAAACGGCGAATAACCGGTCGCAGAGTGTTTGTGGTTGTTGTGTTGGAAAGCTGCGAGAGGTAGCCATTCGCTCCAGTCATTCTGTCGGTGATTGATAAATATGTGGAGATACTTTTCAATCTCCTGGTTTGCCCGTTCCGTCTGTCCATCGGTTTGGGGATGATAGGCCGTAGAAGGGTTTCCTTGTATGTGTAGCATGTCATACAGCTCCTTCATGAATTTTGATACAAACTGGGGTCCCTGATCCGAGATCACCTTTTGAGGCATTCCATGCTTTGCCCATACGTGGTCTCGCAGGATTTTAGCCCATCCTGCTGAGGTTAGCTCGGTCGAACATGGCACCGGGATGACTTCTTTTGAGAACCGATCCACTATCATGAGGATGGCATTGTACCCATTTGAGTCGGGTAATTCGCCTATCATGTCCACCGTGATATGTTCCCATGGTCGAGAAGGTACAGCGTGTGGGTGTAGTGGCGCTCTGCGACGTTGGGTGTTTGTCTTGGTGCGCTGGCAGGCTTCACAACCCTTCACGTACCGTTCTACATCGCCTTTTAGTTTCGGCCACCAGTATTCTCGTTGTACGAGTTCCTTGGTTTTTTCTATTCCGGGATGTCCAGCGGTAATGTGATCGTGGTGGATGGCGATGAGCTCTCCTCGCAGCTTGGCGTCTCGAGGTAAGTATAACCGTCCATCGTAGTGCATTAGGCCGTCTTCTTGGGTCACTCCTCGGGGGTGATGAAGGGATGCTTCGATCCCTTTGTCCCACTTGGTAATGTCCCTTAGGGCTGTTCGAATGCACTTATGGATTTCTTCTTCTCCTGGCATGACTAAAGCTCTGAACATTTCTGGTTTGAGCATTATCATTTCCTTGTTGTCTTCCCCTCCTTGATCGTGGTCTGCTCTCCTGGATAGTAGGTTGGCTTTCTTGTTTGCCGTTCCTGGTTTGTGGTGCAGCGTAAAGTGGTATTCCGCTAACTCCGTTACCCATCGGGCTTGCCTTCGGTTGAGCTTTTGGGGTTTGCGGAAATACTGTAGGTTTTGATGATCCGTCCAGATCTCAAATTCCTGATAGGCACCCATCAAGTAGTGTCTCCAATCCTCGAGGGCCAACATGATTGCCAGGAGCTCTTTGTCGTAAATTTCATAATTTCGCTCCGTGACTGTTAGGGCTTTGGATAGGAACGCTACTGGCCTCCATTTTCCTTCCTGTTCTTGGGATAGGACTGCCCCTATCGCTCCTTCGCTTGCGTCTGCTTCTACGCGGTATTTGCCCATTCGTGTGGGTATGGCTAGTACCACCTCTTCAGCTAGCTTTCTTTTGATTTCCTGGAACGTGCTTTCCTGAGCTGTTCCCCATTTCCATTCCGTTTTTCCCGTTAGTTGAGTTAGGGGTCGTACATGCTTGCTGTAATCTCGGATAAATCTTCGGTAGAAGTTGGTGAAGCCTAAAAACAATTGTAGTTCTCGTTTTTTGGTGGGCTGAGGCCATTCCGTGATTCCCTTGACTTTTACAGGGTCCATGCGTATCGATCCTTGACTGATGATTACTCCGAGGTATTCGGTTTCCAATACCTCAAACTTGCATTTTTCCGCTTTTAGGAATAAATTGTTTGCGCGTAGGATGGCTAGAACCTCGCGTACCACTGTTTGATGCTTGTCTTTGTCTTTGGTGCAGATTAGGATGTCATCCAGGTATACAGTGACATCTCCTCTTGCAATCTGCTCCTTGAACAAGTCGTTCATCATCCACTGGAATGTGGCCGGAGAGTTGGTGAGTCCGAAGAACATCACCAAGGGTTCAAACAGTCCCCTATTGGTTCGGAAGGCTGCCTTCCATTCGTCTCCTCCTTTGATCCGTACATTGTTATATCCCCACCGTACGTCCAGCTTCGTGAAGTATTTGGCGTCCTTGAGTTGATCCATCAATTCCCCGATGAGCGGTAAGGGGTAGCGGTTCTTGATGGTCATCTCATTCAGCTTTCTGTAATCCTGTACGGGTCTAAGTTTTCCGTCCTTCTTTTTGACGAAGAAGAATGGTGATGCCATGGGTGATTTGGAGGGCCTAATCCTTCCTGATTCTAGGTTTTCGTCTAGGAATTTATCCAGTTCTTCCTGCTCGGCCGGATTGAGAGGATAGACCTTGCAGTCTAGACTGGCCTGAGCATTAGGGATTAGCTCAATGGCGTGGTCCCAGGGCTTGCGAGGGGGCAGTTCGTCGAAGTTCTCTTTGGCAAAGACGTCTCGGAACTCCCGGTATGGTTCTGGTACTATTTCTTCAAACGTCTTGGCCCCCTTGGCTTGGTTTGCTTTGGCAGCTAATTCGTTAGCTTTGCTCCCCATGGCTCGTACATGTAAGGCTTCCTGAAAGTCTATGACCAGGATGGTATCTCCCTCTTCTATCTCGGTTCCCCATTGCTGCTCCGGATCTTCGTCGGGAAGGCGAAAAGGTATCTGGCGACAGGCGCACCTGGCTAACGTTACGGCTCCCGTTTTCCAGTCGATGATGGGATTATGCCGCTTGAGCCAGTCATGTCCCAGGAACAGGGGTACGTTTCCTAGATCCACGACGGCTAGGTCGATTTTTTCATGATGGTCCCCAATTGTCATTCGGAGCTCTACTACTTCTGTGATATCTCCTCCCTTGTTTCGACTCCCATCCACGTTGTATACCGCCTGTGCTTTTGGCAGTTTTACCCGTGTTCATTTGTTGTTCTTTACGAACGTTTCGGTTTATACAGCTTCCGGTGCAGCCACTGTCGACTAGAGCGTCGACAGCGTGTACCTGTCCCGGTTGTCTAGGGTCTCGAGTTGTCTCAAACGTTGACGCGTCCTTCCCCTTCCTCCTCGAATGTATTGCGGAGAGGGCACACAGGTTCTGCATGTTTGCAAGCATTGTTCCCGCTGTCGGGTAGGTTTCTTTAGAAGATCCGAGTAGGTCTACTACAGGTCTTCGTCCACCTCGATGAGTCGTCGGGGGTGTACCCACATCCGAAGGGTGGCGAGTCTGCCGTCCATAGGGTTTTTTCCTGCCTCATTTTTCTTCGCACCCATTCCGCGCTGTGGGGCTTAAGCCACCCTTTGTCCCATTTGTCGTTGTAGTACTTCCTCTTCTAGGTCGGGTGACTTTGTAGTCTTCTGGGTACTCCTCAGTGTGGATCACCGGGTCTTCCCCTTGTGACTTAAGACTTTGTTGATAGCTATAGTCGTCTTCCTCATCGAGCACTTCTTCCAGGGAAACAGGTTTTTTATTACAAATGGGGAGTTTCACATAATGGTCCCACCGACCCGCCCACCGAGAGACACGAGCTCCCGGTGCCATTATGTGTTAGCGATGACGAGGGGAGACGTACCGTGATTGGAGGGGAAATGATGATGTCCCCGGTCGTCTGGACTGTTGTTTGCGGGGCGGCATTTTTCTTGCTGGGGATTCGCGTTCCCTCTTGCGGCTCCGTCGGGTCAGGGTAGTTGGCCGCATAGGGCAGGTGCGTACGTTCCGCCTTCAGGCGAGGGCCCTGCATCGTTCCGCTCCCGCCTGGAGGCGCCTTTGCCCACTACTGGGCTCGGCCGCTCTTCCTCCGTTTTCTGCGCCGGTACCTACCCTCCACGGAGCGATGTTTGACTTTGATCCCGGGTATCCCGCCACCTTGCACAGCCTGCGCTGCTTGTGCTTTCGCACCGGTGGCCAAGGAGCTTGAATGGGGTTCTCCTTCGAGCACGGTGGAAATCCCCTGTACACCGTTTCTTTTATGCGACTTGAATAATTTCATTTTGTGATAGCGTGAAAGATTGTCATTGCCTCGAGGTACTACATGCGGTACATTAGTCCGACCTGCGGGATTTCTGTGACGCACCACTAGATGAAATTGTGTCCTTTGCCGACGCGCGTTTGTCGCTTATGCCGGCCAGCTCGTCTTTATACCTCCTCGACCTTTGACGCAGAGGCCTCTCCTTTCTTCGGTCCTTCAATACTTGCTGGTACATTGCGCGGATTTGGGCAATGCCGATGAAGACTTGGGCTGGTGCTTGACGAGCCACGTACTTTCGTCTTTGGGGCACTTGTTGTCTTGCTTCCGATGACCCTTGTGGCCGCAGCAGAAGCATCACCCTTTGCAAGAGACGATCTATCTCCATGGGTTGACCTTGGCCCCCATACGTGGTGCCCGTTCCTGTCTTCTTGTCACCCTGGGAATTCCCGGAGCTGCCAGCTTTTCCCGTTCCCTTGTTCTGTTGTCCCTGCGTTCCCTGGCTTCTGCCGGCATCTTCCGCTAGTCCCACACGATAGTTGTAGTCCCATCTGTTCTACCCGGAACTTCCACTCGGCATAGGTGCGTGGAAGCGCTGTTCCCGTGGCGTGGTATGGCGGTCTTTACGTTTTTGCGGATTGCCGGTTTGAGTATTTCGATCATGTACTCGCTCATGTGTGACGTTTTCCGGACTCTTTTGCTAGATCGCGTCGAAGTCGCGGAAGAACCCTTTCGCCGATTTGTACGTGTTCTGACGGAGGCGTTTGAACTCCTGTAGCTTGAGTTCTACTTTCCGCGTCAGTTCGGAACGGATCTTTCTATGATTTGTCTGAAAACATGCCATGCAGGGTATCGCAGGTATCCGCATGTTTCATTCATAGTATTTGTCTCGGCATGATTCCACCAGTGCAAAGGCCTCGTCGGTGAGTCGGAATGTGCAGAAACACACCACCCGGTTAGGGTTCTGTCCATGCGCATTCATAGTGAATTGTTGGGGAAATACGTTGAAATAGTCTTCCACACTGGTTGAGGAACCGGTCTATGTCGTCGTTGGACTCCCACCTTGAACTTCTCGGGGGGGATCTGCGAGTTGCGGTTTCACACCTGTCCCCACGGATTCGTGTTGGCCACCCCTACGATGAAGGGTGGCGGCGTATTCGGTGGTTGTACGGGGTCAGCGGGGGATAGGGATTGCTGCCGGTCGTGGTGTAATGATCGTAATGCCGGGTTATGATGTGGGGTTAATGGGTCTTGTGGCGCAGGAGCTGGTGCTGCGGGTTGTACTGGTGCCGCAGCCCCCGCGCTTTCCTGGGGTTCCTGTGGCATGCAAATAGCCAGCTGGGGTCGACGTACCCTGTCCTTTTGAGGATTGATAGGTGGCTCAAGTCCACTGTGCTTCCGCTCGACGTTTCTGATGGTGCTGGCACCTGGTACCTCTCTCCGGGGTCCGTGTAGTCATCCGGATGTACTTGGTTCCACAGGGTGTGTGGTGTGAAAAATTGTTTCTCGGTAAATTACTTGGGCCCCGATCTGGGAATTCTTTTCCTTCTGGAAGTACCTTCCTTGCGGTGAACTGTTCCATGACAGTTCCCGTGGTAACTTCCTTTCAATCCATCGCAGCATTTCCAAGTATGTCATATTTTCTAGCTCGGCCTCAGTAGGCTCTCGAACTAGATCCTTCCACGAATTCTGGGATAACGTCCTCTTCTCCGTATTCTCCGACCCTATGCTGCTGCTGTAGATCGAAGTCTGCCCTATTCCAGGGTTCTCGTAGATTTCGCCTTCTTCTAAGTCCGATAGTCAGACTCGCTCGAAAGGCTCCGTGCTTCCCGTGACGATATGGTTCCAGTTTCTGACGATTCGGGCCCACTCATTGACCCTGAGAATGACCTGATCGAAGTCGGGTCTTCGGGGTCGATCCCATACCCAGGGTGCGATGTAAGGGACTGGGGCTGCATGGGGTGCTCTGGTGCGAGCAGATAGATTGCGTAGGGAGTGACGGAGGCAGGGGGCTGGATTCCTTCGTACATGAGCCAGGCATCGGCGTAGTCCTGTGTTTGTCTGCATATATCGCAGCTGGCGTCTGCATCGTAGGTGGGGCCACATCGGTCAAGCTCGGTAGTGGCTTCCCCGGCCCTATCGTTGATGATGATTGGGGTGTTGGGACATGACGAGCTGAAGGTAGCTTCCTTCGTCGTCTGAAGAGTCATCGCGCGGCGTAGTAGTAGTAGCCCCAGGTTTCTCCTCTGGAGTCCAACCTGGGAGGTGACCAGTTGTTGCGTGGCCCTGGGAGCTCGTCGCTGTCACTGTCCTCCTCTGTATTGCTGCCTTCTTCATCTGAATGCTTCCAGTTCCATCTTCAGCCTCTCCTCCTTCTCCCAGATGATATCTAAGCCCTCTTTGATAGAGGCGTTGTCCGTATGAATCATATCCAGGGTTGGCGGCTGAGTTTTCTGTTGAGGTGGGGGAAGGGGCGTTCCAGGGATCACTTCCTTCGCTTTCCCCTTCGCTTTTCTTCGGTAATGGGAGAGAGAACACGCTGGTCCATCCCTTGTTCGTAGACTCCTCGCTTTCTTCTTCTTCAACGACTGGGCCTCTTTGTGCGGCCATCCTTCCACCTCGGTGTTGGACTCGTTGGACTCGTCTGAGTCGGAGTCTTCTGTGATCCACTCGCTGTTGACGAAGATGAAGTGGGTGAAAGGTGCAGGTCGATCGTCGACGTAGTCGGGAGGGGGTGTGTGCGGTCGTCCAACCTCCGGGTTGGAGGCTTCGACGGGGAGAGTTTCTTCGGAGACTGGCTCCTGGTTTCGTCGGTGCTCGTATCCATATAGGAATGCGAGGTAGGCTATGGCAATAAAGCCTTGGAGTCCAAAGAGGTCGGTGAGGTACTGTTCGATAGGGTTCATTCGTTACTGTTTGTCAACGTGGTTGTTGATGAAGAGTAGGAAAGTCTCAAACTAATTGTTAGCGACCGATTTCACAAACAAGATCAAACAACTCAGCGTGACTCGCAGCTTCAGTCAGGCGCTGTATGTTGTCCGCAGGTTTGCGTTAAGGAGGCTATCGCTTAGTTGAGCGAGAGGGAGTTCAGACTAAGTTATCGGGTGAAGAAACTTTAGTTTCGAGACTGAGGTTTAAGAGCCTGCAGTCCGGGCTACTTAAATACAGTTTGGGTCGTGCTAAAATATACTACAAGTGTCTGCAACAGTGCGTTAAACACCAAGACCCACATGGTGAATGCGATCAGGTCCGGAGAACTAGCATAGCAGGATTACGATGGAGACGATAAGATAAGATAAAGCATGAGATCGTAATAGTCCGTCTCCTTGTGACATCGAGAATCTTCGACAAGATAAGACTGCTGTTTGAGAAAGATACAAAGTTGGATATTCGAGCCGCTGATGAGGATATCGACATGTTTGTTACGAAAAGGCTCTCCCGAGGTGACCTTGCCAATCTCATTGGCAAAGACGATGCTCTGCGCAAAGAGATATGCACTGGAGTCACGACAAAGGCTGATGGCATGTACGTTACCCATGTAGTCGCATCTTTACACCCACTGACCAAGTATGCAGGTTCCTTCTGGCAAAGCTACATGTGGATCTACTGGCCCAGACTATAAGTCGCGGTAGGCTCCGAGAAGAACTGGGTAAACTGCCAAAAACAATAAATGGCATGTTTGATAAGGCACTTACTGAGAGAGTGAATAAGCAGGGAGATGATAAGAAAAATCTTGCGCATGCGATTAGGGATGTGCACCGTATCCGTAGTATGGTGGTTACGTACGGTGTATACGGATACGGGTCCATATCGTGGATGACTTTAACGAACCCAAAATACAGCCGTATTCATACGGTTTGAATACGGTCATTGAGGAAGGGACAGAGAACTATCTTATTCCATAAAGGTCAGTACCTATGACCTAAAAGAAGCATATAGTACTCACACTTTGGCACCAGATATCCATCGTCGTCGTCAAAGTGTCCGTATACGGACAACGGTACGGACACGGTACGGATATGACATCAACCGTACCGTACTGTGGCCAATAATTTTTATACGGTCTACGGTCGTATTGCTACGGTCGTATCCGTAACGGTACGGTGCACATCCCTACATGCGATATTTGGCTGGGTAGCCTTTGCCAGGCGCCCTTTGACTGTGTTGGAGCTGTGGCATGCATTGGCTTTGCAATGGGGTACAGAACCCTTTGAGCCCGACAACCTCTGTGACATTAACATTTTGGGAATGTCTGTGCTGGGACTTGTTGTCATGGACGGGACATACAGAAGCTCAGGTCCTTTTCAAAAGTCAGCGCCTACAATGAGATTCGTGCATAAGTGTTAAGAATCTAATCCTTCCCGCATAGGCTGAAGATGAATTTGCTAGATTATACAGTGCAGGAGTATTTTATATCTCAACAAGACAGACTTTTCCCTGACATCCAAAAGCAAATTACACTCACCTGCCTGATGTATATGCGTAACCCTGCCCTTCACATATCCAACCACTCCCACCGAAACCCCATTCCAGGGCCAATTCCGGGGCCAATTGCATACATTGTCATAGGTTCCGTGGCATTCATGACCAAAAAATTAATTGAAGAGTATCCGTTCCTCGCCTACTCCACCTGTTTCTGGGTATATCACGCTCACGGAGCAGTGGAACGTTTGTTGGAAGATGAAATCATTGCATTCCTCAGTGTAGCACGTCATAGACAAGTTGCAAACACTTTCCGAAAGGGCAACATCGAATCCCGGCCCAGACTACACGGCACTTCACTCTGCAGTGCATTATGGTTTGGTGCACATCATGAAGGTTCTTCTGGACCGAAGAAGGCCCGATCCTCATGAACCTGAGGCAGTGAAACTGCTCCTGTCACGAGGCGATGTCGACTTCAATCAGGCTGACCCGGAGACAGGACGTACACCACTCATGGAGGCAGCACGTGAAGGTCATGAAGAGATGGTCAAGGCGATCTTGGACTTCAGAGAGTCAGCATTATTCCGTACCATTTATGATGCTCATCAAGGAGTATTTGGGACCTTGCCTGCGACAACTGGTATCAATGCTGCTTTGAATAACAAAGGAGCCGATTCCCCACTTCCCATTGCTATGCATTATACCCGGTCTGACACACCCTTGGGACGAGTTGATCCAGATGCCCAGTCACCTTTGACGCAATGGACACCCTTATTTTATGCCGCAGAATCTGGGCACCCAAATATCATTGAGATGCTATTACAGACAGGTCAGGTTGATGTGAATAGGAGGGACCACGAGGGACATACCGCCCTTATGGTTGCGGCTTATTACGGAAGAACATCAGCTGTCAAAGCCTTACTGGCAAGCGCAAGAATTGATATTATGGCAAAAGACGATAGTGGTATGACTGCATACTATCATGCAGGTCGTGGTAGATGGTCAGGGGGGGATTCATGAGACGGTAGTAGTACTTCTCGAAGAAAAAGGAGCTGTGGTTAAGGATGGTGATTATCAACCTACCTATCTGACGACTGCCTACCTTCCCAATGGGCAATTATAGCGTAAAGTAGATGTTACGACATCTCAGTACCATTGTTTAAGGGGGGGGGGGGGGGGGGGCAGTGGCTATTGTTTGTATAAAACATTCATCTCGATATCTTGTTAGCATCATATATTTGGCCCTAGAGTAAGTCTCTGAGCTATCCTGATTTCTTGTCAAGGTCGAGTAATTAGAGGCGGGGGCAGGGCACTGGTCAGGGCTATTCAGGCAGTCGTGGTGGACCCAGGTGAGATCAAGCACTCTTTCCGTCTCCCCCACTATGCAACGACTCTTGCATACACCCACAAAACCCCTCTCAAATTCCAGTATTCTTCATTTGCCTAGCAAATTTTTTTGCTCGACTGAAGACACACAAGCAAACAAAAGTTCTTCTCCTCAATCAAGATTTCTTGATGCCGAGATTCCTCAATTTGCAGCCCCAACGGTGGTGGCTCCTCAACTTGAACAACGCTGGGGCTTGGTTCGCATAGACGTCACACCAACGTTGAGCGGAGGATGGTATGGGAGGCGGGGGTGGCTGTGGTTGGGAAGAGAGCGACGCGTCGGCGACTGTAGGATGTAGAGGATCAGTCGTGGAGAGCTCAAGGATATCAGTGACTCGGAAGATGGCTGACCGTGCCGAGAGCGGTTGTTGCCCTATATATAAGGGGTGCCGGCTTGCACTCGACCAAAAGAAGTCTACTGCGACTTCTAAATTTCACGGGTGTGGCAAGCAGATTCTAGCATTAGGTCTCCTGCTCGGGGGTATGTCTACCATCCTCTTATTGAGGCTATTTTAATTAGTAAGTCGTAATACAGCAGCCTAGCCACCTTGGTTGAGAAGGTCATCAAGGAACATATATCGCTGTTACATTCCAATGATTCCGAGGAGAAGGCCTTCACACATCTCCTTGACATGCCGCCATATCCTCGTTTGTTGATATCGGCAGCCCTCGCCAGCATTACAAGAAATCCGTTCACGCTCAAGTCACTTTTCCTCTGCAGTCTAACCGCAATGTTGGGGCTTGATAGCGAATCCTGAGTATCGTGACTACCGGTAAGCGAGCCATCGGTTTGGTTAACAGCTACCTAACTAATATATTCCTCAGGTATAATATTCGGCCCTCGTTGATGGGTATCAGCTTCGTTGTTACTGGTAGGTAAGCTGGTCATTGTTACATTCAAAGTTCAAACTGTTAACTTTTTACTCTCTATCTTAGGCTTTTTTCACGTAGGACAACGCAACCAGATTTTGACTGGAAGAGCAAGGTACGTACATTATCGACTAACCGTTATTGAAAAGGTACTCATCACAGGGGTGCTGGGCTTTTTCTCGTCGGCTAAGCCTTTGGGAGAAACGAGGCTATAAAGTTAAAAGGTTCCGAGGCGTGACCTTGGAATACATCCCTAGGTTTGACAAGGAGTTAATTGTAGGACTACCTAGCTACAATCTCGGTTGGGAAAGCAATGCAAAGAAGCATTTGTACGAAGATTTCATAGCCAGATTTGAGAATGTGCTCAACATGGACCGAAAGTCAGGTTGTATCCAACCCTAAAGAAGCCATGTGAATTAGCCAAGTACAGCTATATACTTCCACCATTACTTCCAGCACCTGACGATATAGTTAAATAATATTCAAAGCAATTCGAAGAAGCATTTTGTACGCACAAGATTTCATAGTTGGTTTTAACAACGTGCTCACCGCCATTGAAAGTTACGTTACATCCGGCCCTAAACAAGAAGACATTAGTCGACTACAGTACCTGGCAAATCGCAACACACAAGCGAATGCTCGTCTTCCCTGGTATTCTAATATTATTGAACATGGCCACGCCATGGTACAGCGGTATCCGATCCTCCTCGTAGCCGCCTTCAACCGGCCTCCTGCCAGCCGGGATGAATCCGTAAGACGTGGTTACAAATTCCATGGTATCGGGATCGAACGGGAGTAGATCGTAACGCCCATTATGGGCTACCTCGCGACCTCCAAGGGGACTGAGCAAGGGTCACGTAGATAGGGCCCGATCTTGCATGGATGGACGGATTTATCGAAGATGGCGGAACCAAAGTACATTGGGGATCCGTCAATATCATAGCATGGGGGTGGTCCAGTAAGATCCTGCGGTGGGAAGGTAGTAGAGGGACGAATGCAATGGAATACGGAAGCCAGAGCTTGAGGGCTGTTGGATGGGCGCCTGGGATGGCGCGAGTTGCTGATCAATACCGGGCTGAAACATCTGATCTGGGAGACAAGGGCA